TCTGATACTTAAGCTACATTCACTGATTTGGGAAAGAAACTACTGGCTTCTGCATCAGACTATTAATTTCTTGAGAATTCATTTATTGAAAATACTAACTAAAAAGTAGTTTATGTATGTAGCAAACCCTTACAAAATACTTACCGTATGCCAAACACTGTTAGCTCTACAAATAACAACTAGTTTATAAGCTTTCTTGTATACTATTTGAAAAGGAGCAAATTGCAATATTGGAAAATATTACTTTAGTCTTCTAAAAAAATAAACAAACAAGAGAGACACATTGTTTCCTGTTGGTACACATATAAAGTACTCTGATATATTAAAGCATCATCACTTTTTATCATCTATTAAAACTGAAAATTTAGCTTAGTTCTCATGTGATAGAGGCAACTTTTATGACATATCTAAAATATGTCCATTAATATCTTAACAGATGTTTTAATAACAAACTGAAGATGTGTGAATGGGTAGTAATTTTTTAAACAATTAGTTTTTATATGATTTTAAATGTTTCATTAAGAGATTTATCTAAAAAATCCACCTTATGTAGCTGTTAAAAAATGACTGCCCCCAATAATTAATGGCTAGTAAAGATGTTTCCTTTTTTTTCTTGTCAATTAAAAGCAATTATGAGAGAAGAAAAATGAGTTGTCAAACCATTGTGGCATGACCCTGGCTTAATTATCGCTCTCTCTTACTCACAGGAAACAGACTTTATAATCACAGATCGAAGGATGGAGTGTGTACCAATGAATATTTGTGAAAACAGATACTGTCAAAGCAATTTTTAAAAGTAAATAATGGAGTATTAACTAGAGGCTAATTGACTTAGATTATGTTGCTTTAACTTGCCAAAAACATTACCTGTTTGTCAAAAAAAAAAAAAAAACCCAAAAAACAGTTTATGGCCAGAATTTGGAGCTGCCAGCCAATAATCTGAGCAGGTGGTCATTAGAGACTTTTGCTAGAGGCCAGATCACTTTCTCTATGAGCAGCTTGGTAAGGTTCAGGCACTTATTTCCTCCTGAATCAGCAATTATTCCATTTCCAATTGCTAAGGTACCTGTCCTCAATGCCAAGGAAGAATTTTAGTATTTCTCCTTTCAGAAGCTGGGATTGATTTACTGTGTTCAGAATTTTTTTAATCTGTTTTATTGGGTAAACTCAAAATATCTACTACTCTACTGGATAAATTTCAATTATCTGGTAAGTGCCTTCTTTCTTCTTTACAAACAGCATATTTGAAAACATTGTTTTGGTAGAATCTTCCCAGAAGACCACATAATCACTATTTAAATTAGCCCTAATTCATTTTACATTTGCTTATTTTACTGTTAACTTTCCCAGAACTGTATTTTTTGTTTTACAATTAGAACATCTGAATTTTAATTACATTACCATCAAGAAGCTCATTAAAGTCACTTAATTGGCAACATTTCCAAAAAAACCTTAGCTGGGTTTAATATATTTTAAAGAGTTACTGTCAAAGTATAATTTCACCATTACAAACAGCTTGGCAACAACATTTGCATAAAGATCTGTCAGTTTCTGAAAAATGCTCAAATGTTGGGAAAATCAGATTCGTTAAGTCGCTTTTACTGAAACAGTCCGGAAATGGAGGAATTGTCACAGAAATCACCTTTGTAACCTCTGAAGAGTGCAGAGTACTGCTATGCATGGCACAGATATTCAAAAGAGTTTTTGTGAAGAAATAAACCATACATTTTATGTTTGGGGGTAGATTTTTAAAAAGTTAAAACCTCAAAAAAGTTTCTTCATTTGTGTTCAATTTAACAAAATATCCATTTTCTTGCTACCTCTTTCTCATTCACTCTGAGAAATGTTGTTATTTATTTATTTTTTTAAATGCCCCAGCCCAGTGTGTCTCAGTTGGTTGAGTGTCATCTTGTGCACCGAAAGGTTGCCAGTTAGATTCCAGGTCAGGGTACATACCAAAGTTGCAGGTTCAGTCCCAGATGAGGTGGACAGGGGCAATCGATGGATATTTTTCTCTCCCTCTCCCTTCCTCTCTCTCAATGTAAAAATCAATACAAACATTTTAAAAAGAAATATTAGATGGTCACTTAAATTTTTGAAACCTTTAAAAATATGTCTAAAGTCAGCATTGTGAGACTAAGAGATGAGATTATTTTGAGATGGCATAATATTTTATAGTGTCCTTCCAACACATACTAAAATCCCATCCCTACAGTACTGATCTCACTTGAACTTGATTGTAATTCCACTCATTTCTTACTTTTACAAGACCTGATACTCCTGCCTTTATACAGGCATCCTCTCTAATATACTGATCTGTTTCAGGAGGATGGGGGCCCTGAAATAGAGGCTTGCAATGGCATTTGTCGAACAAATGAATGAAAATCTGAAGTTTGTCATATATGATATTCAGACCTCTGACATGATCCTATCTTCCTCTCAAGATGACGAGGTTTCCCTATCCAAGCCAGTAGGTAGCTCCGGGCAGGGACGTAGCCCGCGTGGGTGCTTCCCTGTGAAGGGTACCTCTGTCAGCAGCCCCCCACAGTTTCTTCTGGTGTTTGCTGTCTCCCAGCTTGCTAATAAACACTCACAGCTCAAGACCATCAGTTGCTCTCTCTTTCTGCTTCGGGAGAGGGCTCAGAATCCGCCCATCTATTCTTCCGCCATCTTCCCAACAACCAAGTTTGTCATATATGAAGGATAACTGTGCATTCATTAGGGTGTTGGGGCACTCTTCACCCCAAACTCCATGTGTGAGAATAAAATGTGGCCAACAGTAGTTATTACAATCTGCTTCCTACAAATACAAAAGTTAAGATGTTTTCAAACATCCCTTTTACTTCGGTATTTTCTACTAAAATCTTTCCCTCTGTGGTTTGTGTACTTTTTATCTTCCAAGCCAAAAGAAGAATTTAGAAAAGCTCTACCAAATGTGAACATTCCAAAGAAAAGCCCCACCCAAAACTCTGCCTCTCCAGTTGCTTCCTTGCTCTCTGCTGTGGCCTCAACATCCTACAGAGTGTCTGATACATAGACAGATTCAATGCGTGTTTGCTGAATAAATGAATAAATACACAAACACGCGCTGACAGTCCTGAGGAGCATCTGGATGACGCTGCCAGAGGGGCTCAGGGAAGGCTGTATTGACAGAAATGTAGGGAACCTGAGTCCCCTGAGCACAGGGGCGTTCACCCAATCCTCAGTCGGTGAGTCCCTGCCCTTGGCTGCGTCCCAGGATACGGTCTGCCAATAGCACTTTTTGTGATGATGGCGACAGTCTACATCGGATACCTACACTGCCGTGTGGTGGACCCTGGAGGGTTCTACACGGGCAAATGGCACAGTTGGATTTGCCTTTCAGAGATTGCCTCTGTGACGGTGAGGTGAAGACCGCGTGCTGCTGCATGGTGATACCAGATGCACATCCCCCCACGGCAGAAAACCAGTGGGAGTAACCAGACTGTCTATTACTTTTGGTTGTTCTGTTGTCTCTGACGGGTGGTTTCTCTCCTCTCCCTGGCTACAGAGAGTGAGTGGATGAGGAAATGATGAGGCAATCCTATGGGCTTGCTTCAGAGGCTGCTCCAAGCAGAAGGGGAAGTGAAGGTATCAGCTTCCCTCTGGCCCTCAGGGCACCTGCCGCTGCTGTGGAGGAAGGAGGCAATGGCCAGCCCTGAATCTGTGAGGGTGCGTCCAGGCCCCCTGACCACCACAAAGTACCTGAGGGCTCAGGTGGGACCGTCTGGCATGAGTGGGAGGCATGATTTCAGAACACAGTGGTGGAAAGAGTGCTGGACTAAGAAATCTGAAAACTCTAGAGGAGTCTGTTCTCTGACCTTCTAGGCCCCTTCCTGCTCAGTGTTCTATGTCTGCGTTGGTTCTTCTGGCTACAGAGCATGAGAGAAGGCACGGGGTTTTCCCACCTGCAATTGGGAAGAACCAAGCTGGGAGTGGGGAGACATCAGCCAGGGCCATCAGTGCTGGGAAGATGGCAATGAAAAGCGCCCTAGGCACCAGCTGCACTGACACTTCCAACATTCGGTTAAGAAGCAGCTCCCGCTGACCTGGCGTGGCTGTCTGTAATCCCGTGGCAATCACTGAGATGGCGAGCTGCCCACACATTTCTCACTGATGGGGACAGTTCCTGGCAGAGCACTGCCTTTGCGATTTCAGTCATGATGGCTTTTCCTTTTTCAAAAATGAACTCTATAGTGTAGAAGTCAAACCCTAGAAAATCTCATAGATTTTCATCTATTGATGTCCATTTTATTTAATTTTGGGGTTCATTTAGGCTGGTGTGGTTTAGCAATCCGAAGGCAGTTACTATTACTAATTCAAAAAAGGGATACAAAATAGGTATGTGTCCAATTGTCATGCGTCTCTTAAAGGGAGCCGAATGCAAAACTCTGACCGTGCTCTTAGCAATGATGAGAAAGTCTCCTGGGATACACGCAATAAACATTTCCTGGAGGAAACATATAGGTGCAACATCAGAGTTCCTCGGCCAGTGCCTCCCTGGCTGATCTCTGCACAGCTGAGGGTACTCTGACCCAGCATCAGAGTCCTCATGATGAAACATCCCCCTCTGCCTCTGGACCCTCCCGCGTCAACCAGACACTCTGATGTTACCCATGCCCTTGCCTCACAGAATCCCTTGTTTCCTGCCATAGAGACTGGAAACTGAGATCAATGAACGCAGACAAGATAACAGCATTTGAACTTCTGACTTTATTTTCCCCTCAAACAGGTGCTAAAGTACTGTGTCTGAAGCAAAAGGCAGGGCTCCCTTTTCTCTTCTTCCACAGAGTAACAGGAAAATGTAAACGCTATTCCCATGGAATCCCTGGGTCCACCTAATTTTTTGCCAGCCATTCAAAGAACATTCCTTTGTTTGTTTACATCCACATTTAACAGCATAAAGAGTAACACAAGCAAACAGTCTGAGGCGTTTATCGGACGTGTTCAGATGGTGATACAGGCTTGTATCGGCACCGTGTTCAATCTGACAAAGAGAAACATTGCTTCAGGAAGTGGGTCATGTGGGTGTACAAGTGCTTTGTGGACAGGCCGGAGATGCCGTGGTTCTGGTCAGAGTACCACTGAAACACAAAAGGAAGAAGCCCCTTATTCCTGCAGCCACACAATGCCTTGGCCTTTTTAGGCTCTAGAACCTGGTTCACTTTTCTAATATGTAATAGTTGGAATTCTAACTAAAAACACCCAGAAAATTGCTGAAACTGGTTTGGCTCAGTGGTAGAGCATCGGTCTGCGGTCTGAAGGACCCAGGTTCGATTCCGGTCAGGGGCATGTACGTTGGTGGCGGGCACATCCCCAGTACAGGGTGTGCAAGAGGCAGCTGGTCGATGTTTCTCTCTCATCAACGTTTCTAGCTCTTTATCCCTCTCTCCTCCTCTCTGTAAAAAAAATCAATAAAATATATTTAAAACAAACCAAACAAACAAACAAAACAACCCAGAAATATTTCTGAAAAATCAGAAATATGATACTATAGATTTAAACTTTATTGTTGGAGAGATGTTGGTAAGATTATTGTTTTCACTAAATAAAAGCGGCTAGTGGCCATGATGTAATACTATGAACTTATAAATTGATTTACCTTGGGAGGTGACAATAAAACAACAACAACAAACAAACAAAAAACAACTAGCCCGGCCCATGTGACTCAGTAGTTGAGCATCGACCTCTGAACCAAGAGGTCAGGGTTCAATTGCCAGTCAGAGCACATGCCCAGGTTGCGGGCTTAATCCCAGAGTGGGACATGCAGCAGGCAGCCGATCAATGATTATCTCTCATTATTGACATTTTTATCCATCAATCTCTCTTTTTCTCTGAAATCAATAAAAATAAATTTAAAAAAAAGACTGGGAAAATCTCACCTTTTGTTCATTATTAAAAAAACAGACACACAACAAATTTCTAAAAGGTGGGGGTTTCCTTTTCTGGATTCTGTTCAATAGAAGCAAGTGAGGAAGAATTTAGGCTTCCTAAGAGGGGGAAGGATGGGCATGAGGGACTGCCTCTCTTGTGTTGGTTTTTACATAATTTTCCTCTGTTTTCATTTCCCATTCCTCATGCAACTTGGATTTTACAATGAGCTCATTCGGTCAGTCATTCCCTCAGTGAAAATGGGAGTCCCCTGGTGGGCCACACACATGCCAGGGGCTGAGGACACATGGAAGGAAAGATGCTCTAACTGAGTGGAGTGGCATGACTTCAGGGAGCCTCGGGGTCTCTGATAGCTTCCTGCGTTTGCTTCTTACAGAATAAACTGAATCTTCTAGCTGCTTGGGGACTCCCGGGTTTTGCAGGGACTCTTAGCATATAGGATCACAAAACTATTGGACATGTGAGCTAGATAATCTACCTTGTGGATGCCTTTATTTTATACAGGACTCAACCGGGACCACCAGAGGGGCCAGGACTCCCCTAGCGTCCTTCAGGAAGTGAACAAAAGATCAAGATTCATTTGCTAATGTTATGCCTACTCTACCCTTCCGCCTGTTTGTCAGGTTTTGTAAAAAAACAACAACAGAAACCACACACACAAAAAAACAATTAAGAATTAAAAATAAGATTCCTCCTTTTAGCTTAGGGGTCTAAGGCCGTGAACACGAGTGAAAGGAAATTATGTACCATTGCCTGGAAATCCACTTGTGCATTAACCAGAGCTTTAGCAATCTGTGCTGAGTTTTGAAAGTGCACATTATCTGCAACAAAGAGAGAGAGTTAAAGTGCTGTTAAATACCAGAAAGCGCAGAGTGACAATGTACCGCCTGGAAATGAACACCGACAATTATCTAGTCATGCCGTTGACATTGTCAGCAGTGCGGAATAACACTCGTTTATGGAAATGCCCCTGACTCTTAGGTACTGACCCTGAGCACAGGCATAGGAGGATGCTTAATGTTTCTTAAACAAAGTGATGCTGGCTCAGTATTTTTATGTGTAAGAGTCTTGCTTAAACCTCACCATCTGCTGTTCCGTGGATGAGAAGATAGTCTACATTTCTGAAATATTCTGCTCTTGCCATCACAGTTGAATTCTGGAAAAGAGGAAAAATTAACATTTTAGTTGCTGCAAGTTCTAATAGAAAACCAGCTAAATCATTGTGCAATGGACTTAGCACCAATACTGAAATTATGTATTGCTTTGGTTGATAAATATTTAAGAGTCAGAGCAACACATTTTCTTCATCATTTGCATTACCTCCATCTGATTCTTGGTTTGAAAAACTGAAAGTTTATGTGTCATATGTTACATATGAGTGAGACCTTAGGCATAAATGATGCCTGCTCAAGCTGTGGAAGGGTTGGGGGCGGGAGGGAGGGTGGAAAAGGAAAGAATAAAATCCGAAAGGAGTAAATTCCTTTCTAGTGAGGTGTTTTGCATCAAACAAAAGATCATCATATTTGTTTGGGGACCCAGCAAAAGAGAAAACGATGAGTGACAGCTTTAGAATTATTGTGCACATCTGAAATAAATGAACGACCTAAATATAACAAAAGGTTCTTACTTTATAGTGCTCCAGATTGTCATCCTTTGTTGGGAGACCCATGAATCGCTCCGTGTAGATAGACGCTATAAGATATATAAGAACATGTTGTTTGCATAGGGTATGTGTCATTTCATTGACTTGTGAGACCCCCCTGGTTTGATGACTGCCTCTCAGTTCTCCTGTGCGCAGCTGCTCAGGAAGGTTCTTGCTGCCTTTCACTGCGATGCTCCACCCAAGGCTGTTGCTCTACAATTTCCCTCCATTGGGCTAGCGTGGGAATGGAGGAGGAGATTATGGAAACGGGAGCATCTATCATTAGAAAGGGCTGATTCTTAGCTTTTCCACTTCTACCCAAAGTGGGTCGGTTGAGGGAGTGTTGAGCTAGAAATGACCCCCTGGGACGACCTGCTTTTATTTAAAAGAAATCACAAATGCAGCCACTTGTATTACTCTCCTTTGTGTCTTAAATAATCGTATCTTAAATAGATAACTGTCCTCCATCACACATATACATTATTTTTTTTCTGAATAAGGATTCCCTACATGTCACAACTGTCTCATTTCTACCCCAACACAGGGATGAGGGTCTGATGAGAACTAATTTTTATAAAATTATTAGAGTTAATTCCAAACAGCCACCTGCATTGATATAAATTATAAAAAATAGGCAGCAGGGGAGGTGTACTTTTTGAACAGATAGTTATTGCTCTGATCTCTGGAAGCTGCAGATTGTGGTATAGAGATGAATTACTTGGCCTTCATCTGACTTGATATAGGATGTGCTTAGAAGCCAGCTATGCTGCAACTGTGTGTCTGCAGAAACACAACTAGCTCTAATCTTAAAGGTTTGGTTCAGCAGGAGGAGCAATATTTATTGAGAGAAGATATGTTGGATTTTGGAAAAGTTCTCCCCACTCTAAAATGTCTTTGATTGTTACAACACGATTATAATGAATTATATAAATAATCTTGTTTATACACTGCATTTCCCCTGTGATGCTGGGGTGAATTCTACTGCATAATTTGTTTTCCTAGCAACCTCAAATACAGAGTAATTATGTGTTAAATGCTTTGGCAGCAACATTTATGAAATGTTTCCATACCATAATATTCCCAGCTGGAGACTGGAGCTACCGCTATCCCACATTTGAAAAGACCAGTTCCGGATGCGAGGGCCAGTGATGAAACATAACCACCGTAGGACTGTGGAGACATTGGTATGAGTAAGTTCCACATTTCCTTTCACAAGTTCTCCTCTATATTTTTACGGCACCTTTGCTCACAATAAGTGCTGATGGGAGCTGGGGAACATGGGTAGGGCAGGTTAAATGTCTACCTTACACCCTTGGCAGCAAGCCCCACCAGAAATGACTAATTTCATCCCTAGTAAGTGACAAAGATTTGGCGTGTTGATCAGCACATGGTAAGAGCAGTTTAAAAGATGGATATAATTGTAATTTTTCTGCAAACATTTCCCCCCCCCCCTTCTATATTTTTCCAACCAGGGCCTTGCTACAGCAAAAACAGGATTCGACTGAAAGAAATGCACCAAAAAAGATTATTCCCAAAATGTAAATGCAAGCTACTTCATAGTTTGCAAAAGTCCTGTGAGGCAGAACTTGTATCTGTGTATTTACTTATTTTCATAACAGAACAGCAAGGGAAGGACGTAAGTCCCTTAAACCATTGTTTAAGACATGGCCAGGGTCTGTGTGGATTTCACATTACATATTCTGATTTAAGAATTTCTGGCAAGGCAGCTCAAAGAAGGGAAAGCCACTAGTGTTTTAAACATTTTTACACACCCACTCACAAATATAATAGGGAAACAAAGAAGTACACATGGAAATACAAATTTAAGAGTAAAGAGCAGGTTAGCTTTCATCACTTTTCTTCCCTAAGAATCTATAGGTAATTCAGAAAAGGGACTCTAATAACAGAAGGAGCTGTCTGTCCATGTCGCTTGGAAATATGAACCTTTTTCTAAAAAAATGAGGAAAGAAGCAAAGCATCATAGTAAGGTCGCATTTCTCCCTGATCTGTATGCACAGCTGGGAGGGGTACTTCTCCTGAAAACATGGATTAAGCAGTGTTCTAGAACATGAAACATTCCCTACCTGCACCCCCACCCCCCACTCCCCACACACATGTGCATTTAGGAAGCGAATCTTGGTGCTATTCTTGCCCCAACGCTGGGACATCCCCACAAGACATAAGAGGTCAATGTAAGTCTCCAACTAGGGACGTACCTTGTTCTTAAAATATTATTATCACAAATTTCTGGAAATAATTTTCCTCAGGTCAGGAGAGATCCTACCGCTTTTTGGTACAGAAAAGTCTGTCTTTAGAGAGAGTGAAAGAGTGAGAGTGAGAACTCTACAGAGCAAGACCGATGGACAGATGGACAGACAGACAAATGTGCTGATGGCAGCAGGTCTAATCTGAATCCACAAAATACCTGAAATGGGGGAATAAGCTAAGCAATCTTGCTGAATGCAATAGATAAAGAAAGAACTCTCTACCTAGTTTACAGTTTTATGTTTCCAGCTGCTGGGAGTTTTACCGAGACCCTTGACTCTGAAAAGCAGAATAAAAGAGGCAGTTCTGGTTCTACCATGAGCTCTTTTTGTTCTACGTGGAGGAAAACTAAAACATGTTACAATAGGGGAAATATATTTTAAAAACAGAAGAAACACTTGGGCTGCAAAATCATTTTGGTAAGTGAAAATCACTATTAAGTTCAAGCTTTCACCTCTGATACCCAGATGTTTTGTTTTGATGAGTAGGTTAGCAACAAGTATTGCTGAAACAGATCTTTCTTTCCTTCTTAATTGCCAGTTCAAATGAGAGTAGAGTAAGCTAAAGTCCATTAGAAAAACCATTGTTGCTTATGGTTTTATTGGGAAAGTGTGTTCACTGCAAATAATAATATTGGGTCCTGCTTCTCCTCTTCTATGCTTCAGAACAGGAAATAGCAAAGAGCGAGATTGGAAATTGAAAGCATTTGCATAGAGCAAAAGGTTTTTAAACATTGTTGTTCAAAATCTTAGAAATTCTTAATCTGTATCTTCTCAGGGATTAGATAATACCCGTGTTTCCCTGAAAATAAGACCTAGCGCATGGAAAGATAAGACATCCCCTGAAAATAAGACCTAGCGCAACTTTGGGAGAAAAATTTAATATAAGACACTGTCTTATTTTCGGGGAAACAGTGTAGTGCTATATCTAAATAAAATGTCCATGTTTTCAGGATGAATACACGCTGTCTCTAAGAATGTGCAGAAACAAAACTACTTTTATGGCAACTCAACAGAAGAAGGTATACTTTAAATTCTCAGGCAGTTTCTCTAAGCTGTTGCTCTGTACAAGGAAGAGGGGAAAAACACCAGAGTTAACTTTTTTCTGCTCTCCCATGGGTGGTGCTCCAAGGCAGAGTGGGTGGCTGCCACAAGAAAAGAACCCACGGAGCAGATTGGCCATGAGAATTCTAGAAGTTTGTCCTTTGCACTTAGACGCCTTGCCATTTTGTTTAAATGAAGGATGTCTTTAGAACATTTTTAGAAGGGCACAGAATTTTTAGGGGTTTATGGAATATTCTTATGTGAACTATAATGCATATTGGAACATTTTATCTACAGGCAATAACAATGAGCTAATGTTTGTATGGCCAACGTACTGCAAAGGTCTTTGTGGTCCCACACAATGTCTCCCTTCTCCCACCTCCCACCTCCCACCTTCCCCTTGCTCACTGCCCATCTTCATGTTCATTGAACTCTCCAAAACAGGACTTTTGCAAATGATGTCACTCTCTGCCTAGAATACTCTTACCCCAGAAATCAGCATGGCTTACTTCCTTCTCATTTTGAGTCTTAACTTAAAAAAAAAAAAAAAAAAAAAAGGAGGGGGTCTCACCTGTCCTAATCTAAAAACCAACCAACCCTGCACACCATGCTCCTTTGTTTGTTTGTTTGTTTGTTTGTTTTCCTCCAGAGCACTTAACATCATTTTAATATCCTAAATCTTTTACTTATTTATCTTGCTTATTGTCTTTCTCTCTCAACCATTCCCAACTCCAGAAAGGTAGAGATTTTTATCTGTCTTGTTAATGAACCTATCCCCAGCACTGGGAATATGGCCTAAAGCCCAGAAGGGAGACATTTGTTTAATATATGACTTTCCTATTAAGTCATCTAACCCTCCCAGTGGGGAAGAAATTATTATTGAATTTCCTGATGAGGAAGCTGAGGCTCAGAGTCAATGTAGAGCAGATACATATTCAGTAAGCAGCAGAGCTGGGATCAGCCCCAGGACTCCAGGCTCTACAACTTGTGCCGCTTGCTCTGCAGCCCTACACCAGAGCAAACGCTTTGGGGAGCTTTAAGTTTAGAATCTGATATAGTCTCATTAGAGGTGCATTTGTCCTACTTTTACATCGTTGATCACACATAGCAATTCAAATTGCTTATAATTAGTCACTGGAAGAGAAAGGAACTAAGATTAAATCATGAACTAATGCTTATTCAACACCACCTGGCTAGGCCTATATTAACAAAGCAAATCCCATAAAATGAGGTTGTTATTCTAATAATTTAGGCAAAACCCCCACTGTTCTTCAGTCATCAGAAAATAATTGCTCCAAGTTTTATTCGCATAAACCAGGATTTTGCAACCTCAGTGCTGTTGACATTTGGGGCAGATAGTGTTTTTTTTTTTGTGTGTGTGTGGAATCTGTCCTGTGCATTGTGGGATAGTTCACAGCATCCCTGGTGTCTCTTCACTAGATGCCAGTAGTACCACCAGTTGTAACAACCAAAAATCTCTCTAGATGGTGACAGATGTCATCTGAGGGACAAAGCTGCCCAGTTAAAAACCTCTGTCACAACAGACACTTCCTAGGCACAGTACTGAGGGCATAGTGGGCAATAAGCAGCTAAAAACAGGACTGGACTTTGGTTTGTGTGAGCCAGAAAAAATGAAAGGGTAAGATAAAAATTCATCCTCTCCTCTTCATCTGGATAGTAGAAGGAAACAGGATTTGCAGCTTATTGACTAATTGACTTCAAAAAAAAATGTTAGTGCGTGGTTAGCTGTAGTACATTTCTCAGACCACTAGCATGCCTAAAACTTCATGGCATCAGAAACTTCCTTTCCAAATATGGACACAATAATAGCCACATAACCCTCATGGTCACTCTCAGTGTCTTCCTCTTTTCCCTCTCCAATTTCCTATACCATAGACGAGCACTCAGAGCTATGACCTCATCACACCCCCTATTTCGCTGCCTAAATTCAGGCCCTTGGTATTTGTTGCCAGTATCACTAGCTGCCTCACTCCTTACCCCACTCTCTCCCTGCACTGCAGACCATTCTTTCCTTTGTAGCCAGAATCTTTCTGATACTCCACTCCACTCTCTACTGAGTTCCAGAGCACTTCAAAAAGAAGTATCCCTGGAATTAAATACTTTTTGGTAATACTGTATTACACAAAATTTAACAGGATTCTTTTTTTAAAATATATTTTTATTGATTTCAGAGAGGATGGGGGGAGAGAAATAGAAACATCAATGATGAGAGAGAATCATTGATTGGCTATCTCCTGCACACTCCCTACTGGGATTGAGCCTGCAATCCAGGCATGTGAGCATGTGCCTCTGACTGGAATTGAACTCAGTACCTTTCAATCCACAGGCCGAGGCTCTATCCACAGAGCCAAGCTGGCTAGGACTAACAGGATTCTTTACTATTCCTTTCCTAGAGTCTATGGGCTCTATTATTTAGAATTTATGATTTACCGAATTATCAAACCAAAGAATCTTTTCTTGAAAGGTTTCTTGTCACTAATAGAACACATTTGAGGAATTTAGTATAAACAACATCATCAGTGTGTGACATGGCCAAATATACTAAGCATTTGAAAAACAAAGCTAAAGAAAAGACAAAGTCCATTCCCTTGATGAGCTTACATTCTTATGGGAGAAACCAAGAGACAGACAAAACATTGTAATTCCTATAAAAGCAGTATAAAGATCTAATGGAGCACAAAACATGTCATATGTGAGTTAGGTCTCAAAGAACAAGTCGGAATTATCCATTGTGGGTTGAGGAATAGATAGAGAATGGAAAAAGAGAATGGACAGATGCAGGGAACAGGACTAACAAAATCACTGGAACGAGGAAAAACAGACATAAATCAAACTATTCAGCAGGTTCAGGGAAAAGTGAAGAGAGATGAGACTGGAAAATTAAGCTGCAACCAGTTTGTCAAGGACCTTACATGCAAGGAAATATGTTTGGGCACTTGAGTGAGGTCAATGTAATAGAGTGAGCCCTATGAAATATATAAGCAGAAAAGCAACTTGGTAAGAGTCATGCTTTGTAACAATAACCTCATTAGAAATATTGAAGCTGGGGAGTCCAAAGCAGTCAGGCTTGTTAAGAATAGTGAAACTGGTACCACACAACCAATTGGAATAAACTGGTACCACACAACCTATGGACCATAGGCGAAAAGAATCAGCCTTACCTGATATCCCATTAGAAATGCAAAGCCCAGGCTTCCACCTGGAGTACTGAGTCATAATCTTAGATAGTAAGGTCCTGGAAACTGGGTTTAACAAGTTCTCCAGGCATACATATGCAGCCCAAATTTGAGAAGCTCTAGCCTAAATTACATGAAGAACCACAGCAATGTCAGTGGGAAAGGTAAAAGATTTCAATGTTTGAAGGTAGAATTGACAGAATTTACTAATCAAGAATGTTTGCAGTCAGGGAGCAGGGAAAGTTGAAAACAGCTCTGAACTTAAAGACTAGGTGTGTAATGAGGTCCTGCATAAAGATGAGGATTGTTTGAAAGTAGACAACACAAGTTTAGCTTGAGCAAGTTAAGCTTGAGGCCCCTGTAAGACATATTCAAGAGATGATCTGCAGGTATTTGAAAGGTGGAGCTCAGAAGAGAGAAGCGGGTTAGTGGCAGGGATCTGGCACTCATCATTATCCTTGAAACTGCATGAGTTTCTCCAAGGAAATGAAGAACAATGAGAACCCAACACAGGCCCAGAGAAAACACCAACAATTAAAGAATGAGTGGATTGTAATGACCATAGAGACACAGGAAAATGAGAAGAGAAACGTGTCACAGAGCTATGGATAAAGCCCATTCTCCTTTATGTGGCCTAAAAGGACTTCGGGTATCTGGCTACTTATCTACTCAGATGCACCTACACCTTATTCATCATATACCTTATATTTCTAAAAATTTGGGCATTCCTAACAAACTCAGGGTCCCCCCCATAGGCCATGCTCTTTGTTACCTTAGGACCTGGGCAATGTTGTCTTCACTCCGCCGGAAATGCCCCTTAACTAACTTCCTTTCATCAAGCTCTAATGCTACCTCATTTCTGAATCTCTCCTGAGCTCTCACAGCTAGAATTAACAACTCTTCTCCCTGGTGTTCTCCACAAGTTTTATCTCTCTCAACACTTGTAACATTTCCTGAGCAATTCTTTTCTTACTCTCTGTGTTCTCTACTAGAGATCCAGGGAGATAACTTACTCACCTTTCATCCTCTAATGAACCTAATAGAGTATCTAGTTGAGATCCACTAACATTTTTGTACATGGAAGGAAAAATGAATGAGTCAATGATAAGATGGGTGGATTAATAAATATGAATTGGTCTTAAACGTAAAGAACTAATAAATCAATGTTAAGGTCTTTTTCCTTCAGGAACTCGTAGGTTTTCCTGCTGATTTTAGGGTCTACTCAAGTGTTATATCCCTTAGCAGTTCATTTATTTTTTCTCCCACCTAATAATCACTGTCATATTGAAAAGTAAGCAATAAAGGGAACCTAATACTCAATTTCTTTCAGAAGCATTGCACAGATATGGTGAAAATCTCTTATTGAAGAACGTCAGACTGATATGGATGTATTTTGGGGTGATGAGTGGGTTCCTAAAATCATCCCACAAAGATGGTTCTCTACCAAATTAATGCTTAGACTGTTCCAGAAATGAAATTAAACGTTCTACTTTATGTTTATTTCAAAGCCTACAATAAAAGCATAGTAAAACTCTAAGAAAAATGTTAATGATTATATGTGAGTATTCAGCTTGGAATTTGAATCTTTCAAAGCTTTACTTTAGAAAACTTCATGAAAATGGATGGTAGGAAGGGTCTTATCTGAAATATTTCACTATAAAGTATTTTATTTATTTACACCCTTTGAGTCCCATTCTGTTTAGATACTTAACATTTGATAGTTTTAAGAAGCACCAAATGGCCTGAAGTAACAACTTTCCACAAATTCACAACAGCTCTTCATCTGGTCACTGAGTTGAGATTTGCGCTGAATTCTGCAGATTCCCTTCAATATTGGGTTTCATTCCCTCCATCGTGTGCAGGCCGTTCTCACAGAAAACAGCCAAGAAAAACAACGCAAGCACAAATGGCTGCAAATTGACTTGCAAATGTACAAATTCAGACCAAAAAGTGAAACAGGAAATCTTTCTTGAAGATTAATTATCATAATTTATAGTGGGCAAATTAAATCCTTTCCAATATTTCTCTAAACTTTTTAGTGGCTTCATTTCCCATAACTGATAACTTTTGCTACTTCCTTTAAAAGACCTGCACAGTTCCTTAGAAATGGGAAATTATTGTCAGGACCTATAACTAGCACAAATTAACATTAAATGTGGTAAAAAATTTTGATTACCCCGCTGCTCCCAAATCAAATAAGATATGACCTGGATAAAAAAGATACTAGGGCCAAAACCAGTTTGGCTCAATAAATAGAATGTGGGTCCGCAGACCGAAAGGTCCCAGGTTCAGTTCTGGTCAAGGGCATGGTTTCAGGTACATCCCCAGTAGGGGGTGTGCAGGAGGCAGTTGGTCGATGTTTCTAGCTTTCTATCCCTTTCCCTTCCTCTCTGTAAAAAAATCAATAAAATAAAATAAAAAGATACTAGGAAATTTATATTCTGAATGTTTCTATAATTTCAAACTTTAGCTTAGGTTTTCATAAAAATAAAATCATGAACTATAAAATAAAAGGTTTATATTAACCTGAATATGACAAAGGGAATTCAATCTCAGATAAATATGATTCAATCCAGTAAAATAAAATCTAATACCAAAAAAAAAAAAAAAAACATAAGTAGAAATGTGTTACTCATGAGTTAATTTGCTATACAGGGAAGAAATGAAATGATGGGGGAGTGGAGAGCAACAAACAATTATAGCCATCACTTTGAAGCCCAGATTATTAAAATCGACTGTTTTCATTGACAGATTAAATTATGTTGCAACATTAACATTTCATGAGAAATCTTATAAGCGAACAACTTAGAAAATGATGATTGCTGAACTGAATAACAAGCATAAAACATATAAAACAACTCACCCAGCCCCATATGGCTATTCTTTTTTCATCAATGAAACCCATTTCTATGAATTTTCTAAAGTAAAAGAAACAAATTTTTAGAATTTTAAGTGTGTACACATGACATTTACTTCATTACACAAGCATATTTAATTCAAAAACTTAATAGAAGCGCTACATTTTCTTTGTTTAAACATATGCATAATCAGGCTGCATTTACAAATAATTAAAAGAATATTATCATGTTTTCTGCAAAAGATAAAAGGGTCCTCTAGACTCCAAGGTACATCTACTGAGTAATGCTTTTCAGGGCTGGAAGGTCTCGTATCCTAATTGTGTGGGTGAGTTATGAACTACTTAGCGAGGTCAGGAGACAGGCTCACAGTGACACAAGGGGTAGTAGCACAATGACTAGGACCATATTTCCAAATCCATAGCTTTTGAAAATAATATTTTGTTGTTGCTTTTTAAGATTTTATTTATTTTATCATGCCCTTGTTTGCTTAGATGCTAATGATAATCACCACCTCATTGTTGGTCTCATATCCATCTATGGGAAAATAGTCATCCCTCTCCCATTTCATACTTCAGTACCCTCAATTTATCATGGTATGAACAATGATGTGTATCTTTTAGCACATGGACATGATTCAGTTGAGCTCAGTCACAAAAGAGCCTCCATTTGAAAACTGTTTTGAAAATAAAATCTCTTCATAGGAACAAGGGGCATGCTGAAGGGCAACCTTTAAAAGTCATGGGAAGCCCTCAGAAATGGAACCTCACGCGCACATGCACACACACACACACACACACACACACACACACACACACACACACTATTTTTTTTAGCTAATTTATCCCATGCTCCTTGAGGGCTGGTGTTCCAGAGCTATTGTGATTTATTTCGGGAATGGTGTGATAAAAACTCAGGAAACTTTCAGAGAAACAGAAGCAGAGGGAGATCAAGACAAACTGGATGAGCCATTGCAGAGGCTAGGATGCAGCCATAAAGGGAAGAAGTTATGTTAGTGCTCTTTCTGGCTCTTGTCCTAGGGCAGGATGGAATGATTTTCATTAGTTGAAACAATGAGCTTCCCTACAGTGACCATGTTGCTCGTTGCATTGATTCGACGTGTACATCTCCAGTGCGCAGAGGAGTTGGGTAAATGCCCGGGATGAACAGATGGGAAGAAGCCCCATCAGTCACAGCTTACCCAACACCGACATTGAGGGACACAGGCGTATATAGGGAAGCAATGCAGTGGCAAGTGGAAAGTTGCTACCTGTGTGGATGCTACTCATGGTAAAGCAGTGAAAATGTGCAGCAGCCAACTGTGGCATTATGGCAATTCTTCCTTCCAACTTCAAAAATCCAATGAAAGAAGAAAAGGCTCACTTCCTTTGTTAAAAAAGTAAGTGTGACCCAACTGAGCCATAAAACCAATCGTGGTTTTTATGATCTCCCAGAAGCTAGCAATCATGTAACCTTGCATCTGGGGTAAAAGCAAATGACAGGTGATACATGCGAACAGTAAATTTTTAACAGCTCCCTTTCTAGGTGTATTCTGAAACCATGACGTTTATAGGAAATGATAGTGCAATAGTGAACATGGAAATGAAACATTAACACTTAACGTGGCAGGACTAGGTTAAAGGTTATCAAGATAATATGAGCAGTTTGGGATCAACAAGGCTCTATAAAACCTACCTCCAATTTCTAAAGAGCTTTCAGAAGGGTTATCTGAAATACTGTTGATAATGCGGTTAAATCAACAAAATGTTAGGAACAAATGAAAAAGCATGTTTCTCCAATTTGGGATGCTGGACTGAACTTTACAACTTTTCTCTCATGAAAAATGGCCCTAGACCAAAGGTCAGTTTGGAGTTCTAGTGATCAATTATTATTCTCTTTTAAAAATGCTCTTACTGATACCAAGAATAATAGTATGAGATATTTTTTCTTCACATAATTCTTCCTTATTATTAATCTCAAGTTATAGAAACATTTCCAAACTGTGGGAATGTAAAATATATCCTAAGTGAGCAGAGTTGACTCTATATCTACCAGAATTTTTGGCTCTCACCTATGTAACATTTGCAGAGAAGCCCGAAGAACACAGGTTCCAGTTTTATTCTTTGACCTCACAAGCATCTCCTTTGAAAGATTTCCTTTGTGTAGTCAAAAGTTGTGAGGTTGTGCATTTTCTTTTTAAACTTATTTTTCCTGTTTTTCCTTTGAGTCTCTTTTTTTGACCCTGAGTAGAATTTACTATTGTTTCCAAGCATATACATATGATTTTACTTTAGTATGTAAAATATTTAGCCAGATTGAATTTTATAAGAGATGCACAGGGTCAAATTTCATTCTTTTGTGGGGAGGTAATGTGAGGGCTACCACAGAGGGATTGTAATCCCAATTCCTTAGGTCAGACATTCAGTGTCATTCCCAAAACACTTTTGGGGAAATCTGTGGTTGAGTTATTTCCAGGATTATCATTATAAATCTATCCCTTTTAGCTTTTGTTTTCTCAAAGCATTGGATTTCAAGGCTTCCCTGTCACTTATGCAGAATAATAGTTTCGAGCAAAGTCAAGTCCAGCCCCATCTGGCATCTTCACTGTTGCATAGGTCCTTGGTGTGGACCACATAGCTATCTCTAGTTCACTGAGTGTTTACTGAAAGTTTTATTGAACAGCAATGCTGTCCCGTTAGTGTAGGTGGTTTAACCACTTTACAAAGATTGTAAGTACATTGAAAATAGATTGTAAACGGCATAATTTTATAGAGTGCATTTCAATGGCATGCATTAATATTTGATCTTGTTGAATGGCTGAGTCAATGAGTGAACATATGCTTGATCTATAGCAGGAGACCTTCTTTGGGTTCACTGGAGATAAAGGTGGCCAATTACTGCCACTGGTCCACCTGCGATTCTAAATGCCAAAGACATTTATTTATGTTATTGTGAAAATCAGGAGACTTTCTGGCTCCTTGTGCTATATGTTGAACATCAGAAATAACAATATTTTTTAAGGTTTATACATGGGCTGCGCGTTTAAATTTCCATTCCATTCAAGAGACACCTAGAAGCGATCTGTATTGCTTCTTGAGGTAGTCTTATATTTGAATGCTACATTTTTGGTGGCAAATAAACGCACAAAAATATAACGTCAAATTTTGTTGTAATTGGTAGGTTGTGGTGATAAAATGATGATCATGGGACTGTTTTTTAACCAATGCCCATACAAACAGCTCTATAAATTTTGGAAAGTAGCTAACTGATTATAAGTAAGGCACAATTTACAGCTCTATCTTTTGATGTAGTTCCAGGATTATCTGTCCTTGGTGCTTGTTGTATGGTTTAAATACAAATAGATTTGAGCTGCAATGTGAAAAGAATTAGGTCTATAATGCTGACAATTGTGTTAATATTCCCAGTAAGGTATAACATAGTCTTTATATGAGAAACTTGTCTCCCTGAGGAGTTTTTCTTTGAACTATCTCTTCTATTTCTCTCCATCAGGCTGAAGACTCCGCCAAGATTAATAGCAGAAAGATTTAAAAAATCTGGATTCGTAAGAAAGATGGAACTTCCTTCAACATCATCATGAATGATGCCCTACAGATTGTGAAGTGTTATTTGATAATCTACTTACTGATTTGTAAGATTTTACTCAGAGTCTGTTTTTAATCAAATTTTTTTGTGTGTATTACTGTTCACAGAATGGAAGAAAAATTGGAAAACATATGGGTTATGATTACTTTTCTATTTTAAAAAATAATTACTTTTGAGTCTAAACTTCTCTGCTTTGATTACAGACAAAATACAGAAAAGTGTTGTCTGGGCCTGGCTCCTAGATGTAAAATACAATCTGTGTTGTATATGCTGAATGAAATCAATGACTATTAATAACATTAAGATGATCAAAGAAATGTACTAATGAATTTTCTCAATTGCTATTTGGTGTGACACAGCGTGACTAAGAGTGGCATCAGCCTTTGTTCACTTTTACATTTATAATCTACTATTGTCTACCTTTAGCTACTCACATCAATAATAACAGAAACCAAATAACTATAGAGAAATATCCAGAAAAATTCTGAACAGTGTTTTCAAATAAACAACAATATTGATAACTATAATTTGTGTTGTTTTTGTTTGTTTGTTTTTTAAGGAAAAGATGATTGATCCATAAATTGTGGTTGAGAATGTAGTTGAGAAGGACTCAGGTAATAACCTGTCTTTCTTCTAAATGTTTTCATAATATAATTTCTGTAATTTAAATGAACGTTTTGTCAAATGAAAATAAGGAAGTACTTTTATGCTAACACAACCGTGCTTCACAGCTGGTTTATTACAAATAAATGTTAAACATCTATAGGTATAGGGAGCTGATGAAATCTTGACCAATTCCTAAATTTGTGAGTTAGAATCTACAGTACTTGGCAAATTCAGCTGTTTGGGTTCACACAGACCATCTCTAGAGTTATATACATTTTTCTGCTATTGTGAGCCATGTTAATAAATGAAAGGATGATAGAATAACAAACATTGAAAGAGAGTATTTGTCACTATCACTATAAATCAGCTTTCTACACATTTGTCAGCTCTCTTCCATGAATAATATTTTTTTTTTATCTTGGACCAAAATATCCCTTTAAGATTAAAGATAGCTTTAGATGAGTTAAAAAAATGGACATTATAAAAATAGACAAAAAAAGAATTAAGTCATTAAGGATGAGAAACCTAATAGCAATTGCATGACTTTGGTCGCACATTAATTTCTGTCTGAATGACAGGTGCTCACCTGACAGCTGTGATCTGGTCCTCAACTTCATAAACACCCAGCTTTCGATACACTGCATGCAGGTGTTTGTCACCTTGGAAAGCTGTTCCTCTACCATCCACCAAGGCAATGACTATTCCTTCCTTACTTGCAAGATAAGATATCCAACTAATAGCAAACACAGACCTTACACTCTGACTGCAGGGACCACCATACCTAAAGAAAAGGAAAAATAGAATCTCTGATTCCTTTGTAAAACAACTTCCCATCATGGCCAAGAATTGCCTTTAGTGTTTCCCAGTACATTTGTATGGTAAAATTTCAATAACAGTGGCATTAGAGCTGGCTCAAAACCAAGAGTGGACCAGGATTTTCCCAGAGGTTTGCTGTAAGGAAGTTGTTTTGGGACACAGCCTCTCCTATTCCCCAAAACGGATACATCTAGGGTTGGCATTTCAAGGAATATGTGTGGGTTTTTCGTCATTTCTGCCACCTGCCACTTGCTAAAAGCAGACATAAGATATACTAAAAAAAAATGCATGGTGTTTTAAGCAAATTGTGTGTAGGTCAGCACTGATTTTGGGTGTTATTCCACTAAATGTATCCCATTCCCTTATTTCATTTCTAACTCAATTACATAAGATGCTAAGATGATTTACAATATTATTTTTTGGCTGCAATTTATCTCAAAGGTATTCTGACACATTCGGCAATTTGCCATAAAAAAGAAATTCAGCACAGCAAATGCAAGCAAGTCCATCTAAAATCTCAAAACTTTCTCAATCTATTTAAATAGCCATATTTTATTTACTCTTATTAGAGGAGGGATATATAAAAACAGCATCAATAGGAAATCTTACTAAAGAGAGTGGTTCATTCTATCTCATAAATGTGTATTTAATCCAACATATTTTCAGTAAATAATTTTTACACTAAAGAAAATATTACATACACTTGAATTAGCAAGGGATACTTCTTTGATCCGTCAAATTGAGGAGGAAAAATCATCTTGTACCATAAAGCTTAGGGGGGAAAAAAAGAGAAAAATCTTTATTACAGTGTACTCACAGTGTTATTTATTTCCTTTAATAACATAAAATCAATTTGTTACTAGTAAACTGTTAAGAATCCAGAATATCTTATAAATAAATTTTTACATTTTGTTCTAATTTATGAATTACTATAAATATTGAATTATTGGTTTATTAGAAACACACATTCTATAATTAAAATTAGATAAACTCTTTAAAAAAAATCAGCCTTGAAATAGGACTATAGAAAAGTATAAGATCAACTTTATTTACATGCATATTAAAGATATTTTGTGAAACTGTAACTGTTGTTACAGCAAGATTATTTTAATTAAGATCCAGTAATAATGTCAGACTTGGACTATAATATTTACGGTATCATTTTTTAAAAGCAAGATATGTGCTCAACTTCATATCTGGAAATGAGAAGTTTTTAAAAGATCTTACTAATGTCATCCACTTCAAGTTTCTTCATTTCCTCTTTAGGCAGCTGGATGTTTTTCAAAGCATTTTCCAATTCCTTGTTTTCTTCCAGGATTTTAATTTCTTAAAAAAAAAGAAAAGGAAATGTCCATTTTAATTAGCAGCATTCCATTTGAAAACTCCTTTCTAAAAATGCCTTTGTGTTTAATGTGGCCGAAATGGAAACAATGTAAGGACTGCTTCAGGAGTTTCACATCGGCAAGCACATTTTGATTCCAGCCTTTAAAACAGGTATGAGTTTAGGAAGGACAGCACCATTATCTCCTAAACGGAGTCTCACAGGATCAAAACACATTTTGAGCAGACTCACAGAAGCAAGAATGTTTATTAAGCCATATTTCCCATCTCTAATATTTCTTTTTTAACATAACTATGACCTAAGTTGGTCACATTTATTTTATCACTCACTAAAAACAGGAGAAATAAAATCTATATTTCTGAAACCCCAAATTTAAAAGAATTACTTAAGTGATTATGAAAGCTATTTTAAAATGTTAGCTTCAAATACATTCTGTTTTTTTTAATATGTAATTTTTCCTTAACTCTTTCCTGCTATATACTTGATTGATATAGGGTATTCCTTTTTTTGTACTGAATTAGTGTTTATTCTATTTCTTTCTCTCATAGTAGTTATATATATTAATAAAACATCAATATTTACACACTATGATCTCTTTCTGCCTTTCACCTTAGAAATTCCCTTAAAAAAACACAGCTGTTTATATTTAAGCTTAGTTATATTTCACACTTTAATCTTTAAGCTGAAAAAAAATCATTTTTTTCAGCAATACAGGGCTTTTTGTAAGCTTTATTTTGAGCTGGAATCTATACCAGGCATCTTCTAGAGAAAAGTTAAACTTTCATATAATATGTAGAGTTTGTAGCCTTATTTTTTAAAAGCAGGTCTGAATAATTTCTGAAATATAGAGGTTTCTATGTAAGATATCCTGTGAACTTCTTGTTTTTGTGCCTTTTAAAAAAGTAGTCCTTGAAGATGAGGAACTGGAGGAGGGAGTACTTGATGCTACCCTAAGTTTGCCAAACCACTTCCCTTGTAACTTTCAGTTTTCATATATTCATGGCATTTTGCTCCAACATGTTATATTTAATCTTAGAACAATTATAGATGTTTTTGGTGTGACTTGTATAAGACACATAATAAATTTCATTTTAATTTTGGATAATCCATCAGGAAAGAGATACTTATGTCATCTTAAAGGTTAAAACCAGTCCTGGCCAGTGTGATGAGGGTTAGAGCATCGTCCCATGTTCCCAAGGACTGTGTTTGATTCCTGGTCAAGGGCAGGTACCTCGGTTGCAGGTTCAATATCCAGCCCCCATCGGGGCAGGTACAGGAGACAACCAATCAATGTGTCTCCCTCACATCGATGTTTTTCTCTCCCTCTCTTTCTTCCTTCCACTCCCTAAAAATTAATGGAAAAAAATATCATTGGGTGAATATTAGCAAAAAAATAAATGTATAAAAAGAGATAAAACTAGCCTTTTCTGGGTGGCTCAGTTAATTGGGGCAAGGTCCCATAGTCCCATACACCAAAAGGTTTCAGGTTCATTCCTGGTCAGGGCACATGCTAAGGTTGTGGGTTTGATCCTCATGAGGGGCATCAGGAAGCAACCAATCGATGGTTCTCTCTCACATTGATGTTTCTCCTTTCTCTCTCTCCCTTCCTTTCTCTCTAGAAAAATCATTGAAAAAAATATATCTTTGGTAAGGATTAAAAAGAAGAAGTCAACATTAAATTATATATATGAATAAATAAATGGAATATACAATTCTGAGTACAATGAAGCCTGCTCTTCGTTCTCCCTGTGTGTGCTTTATATGTTGAACTATCATGAATACAGGAAATCCTGTGTGAAGCAAAAAGAGTGTGATTGCTTGTTTTATTTATTTTCTAGAGGCCCAGTGCATGACATTCATGCACTGGGGTTAGGGTGGGGTCCCTCAGCCCTGCCTGCACACCCTCACAGTTTCGGATCCCTTCGGGGATGTCCACCTGCCGGCTTAAGCCTGCTCTCCGCCAACAAGCAGACCTCCTGCGAGGGGTCCCTAGCACTGCTGTAGAGGTGGGAGCTGCTGCACTCGCCAGCCATGAGCCAAGATTCTGGATGAGTGGTGCTTCTCCTGTGGGAGCACACTGATCACCAGGTGGCAGTTCTTGCATTAAGCAACTTCCCCCTGGTGGTCAATTCACATCATAGTGACTGGTTGTTCCACCATTCAGTTGATTACCTTAGTAGCCTTTTATTATATAGGGTCAATTTATTTATTTATTTATATTTATATTTATATTTATATTTATATTTATATTTATATTTATATTTATTTACTATTATTATAATTTTTCCAACACATATTAGAAATCAGAGACAATAAGTAAGTGTTTCCAGATTGGTTTGACTTTGATTTCATCTTTATTCTGTCCCTAGTTATTTAACTTTTCTGATTCTTGACTTATTGAAATGCCAAATTTAATTTAAAAGTTTACTTATATTTTTATGGTCTAAAGTTGCATTTTTACTAAGAAGAGGGGAATTTTTTTCACCCCGTGGGGCAAAATGAAATTTTATAGGGCTGTGAGGAATGGGAGCATGGCAACTGGGCTTCTCTATGTAGCTTTGCATCAAAAGCTTATATTCTGACAAAGGAGTGTCATAGTCCAGAGTGCACCCTTTACCTTGTTCCACTCATTGTATAGCTTGCGCAGTGCCCAGCACTCAGTAACTAGTACCTGACATGCAGTATGTCTTCTCTGCATACTTGTAGACTTTTTGTTATGATAAAATTAAGTGGTAAGAATGATGGATCATGTATGAGATTTTTGGTTAAATCATATTCACTAGCATTTATTGCCTATTAATTAAATTATGTGAAGAATCTGTTAAAAGCTGATAAATGAGGTCATTCCATCAGTTGGATAATTTTAATGAGCACCTGCTGTGCCTGAAGCAACTACTCCTCAACGAGGCTCTCAAGGTCAAGTGCCAACTCTTCTGAGTTTCTGCAGCATCTGGTTCAAGCACTATCTGTTGTTTTCAAATGACCTTACCCGTTTCAAGGAGAAAATGAAGCTGTTGTACTATTTTCTGCTATGTCTTCAAGCTTTCATACAACTGCATCCATAATTTTTCACTCTCTCTCTTCTCAATGCCAGAGATCAATCCCCCCACCTGTCTCTGGACTCCATCTTTTCCCAAGCTCTCAGAGGCCTCCCTCCTTAAGTCTTCTACCCCTTTTGTTCTCCTAATTAAATTTACTTAAGTCTGGCTTCTACTTCCATTGTTTCACTGAAACGTGTCCGATAAATGAATGCTATTCTCCCTCTTGCTAAAATTCGAGGCTTTAAAGCAGGCCTCACTCTCTGTAGCACTTGACAGGGATCCTCTTTTGCCCCGTCCTTTATGGCAACATACTCTCAAGGTTGTCCTCCTCCTTCTGTTCCCTCTTGGTCTTCTTTTCAGATTCATGTTTCTCTTTCCATTTCTGGTGTTGGTGCTTTATACAGCTTCAGCCTAAGCTTACTCTCCACTATCACTGCCCTCCCTCATTTTCCCCACTCTGCTGTCTATCTGCTTTCATGATCACGGTAACCATGTGACTAATGTCAATAAACAACATCAATATCATTCCATTGACCAAGCAACATCAATTCCTCCTTTACTTGTATGAGTCACTAATCTGATATAGCTATCATGAAGAAACATTTCCCAACCCAAAATCCAGGTGAGCTGCCCTACTTATGTGCTTCCCATGCTCTTAATACTGGACTCCACTGCATCCTAACTGTCCATTCACACAATTGCATTCTCCATTGATCTATATTCACATTGAGGACAGAGACCATAGCTGAGCCAATACCAGTTCATTTTAAGAATCTATAATTCACCACAGTGTGAGAAGTGCTTAATAAAGATCTGTGGAATGAAGATTTGTGGCACCAAATGCAGTGGGAAATGAATGAAAAAAACTACAAATAAATAGAAGACACACCATCTGCTATAAAATGCAATTCCAAAATTTGTTGGGGAATTTATTAAAAACACAGATTACCTAACCTAATCTAGGATCTATTGAATTGCATCTTCTGGGAAGAGCCTCAGAGTATTTATAATAAACATCTCTGGAGAATTTTATCATTAGACACATTTGCAGAACTGTGCTCTAAAAAAATTGCATTCTACTTTGCAAGTTGGAAAACATATAAACATAATATGTATTATGTATATTTCTAACTATTAGGTAAAGTCATGAATCCTTACAGTAATTGGTGTCTGGGAAAAGGGAAGCTGACCTTTATTTTGCAGTCATTAAAAAATGGGAATTACACATTTATAGTGATTTCCATTAAAATAAAAAAGTTACAGACTTGAAAGTGGAACTGCTTTATGTTCTGAAGACTGTGATGTGCCAAACTAAGAAATACAATGTTATTCTTAAATGTATTTCATTATTAGACCCAAAATAAAACAACAAAAACAAAAATAACCTTCAACATGAAACTAAATTCAAAGTCCCTGTTCTACCCAGAACTGCGAAGTTGACTCTGACTTCCTCCTTCCCTTATTTTCACCTATCTTTGAGCCTTCGAGCTGACTGCCAATCTCATCCCAAAGCAGTCTCCTGGCTTGTCACAGTAGCTGTGACTGCAGGCATGAGTGCTAAAGTCCCTCCTTGTCCCTAGTCACCATCAGCTTCAACCCTATCGTGCTGTTTAATAGTACATCGAAGGTATGTGGAACTTCAGGAACAGGTTCGGGGCAATTATGCACTTGGATAACTCTGCTGAGAACAAAAAGGGTTATCTGTGATCTGTAAGCTATTTTGAAGCGATATTACAAATATAGGATGGACGAGGACTATCTTGGTAGCAGTTGAATATGGAGAGAGCCTCCAAATTTGGGGCTTTCATATGTGACAACAGTGTGACTTAGCTGTTAAAACAAAAAAGCTAGCATGATAGTCACCCTCTGCTTTGAACTGGAATTATAGCTGGAATTTGTCTCCAGTTTGAAATATTACAAAACAAAACAAACAAAAAACCCAAAGACAAACAAACAAAACAAAACAACAAAAAAGGAATATTGTAAGTTATACCAAATATTCTAAGTTTCCTTCCAGTTTTAAGCTTCTGAGCTTTTTATAAAGTTGATTGAGGAAGATAGAATTAATCCCTCTGATATAACTCATTTGTGTTATGTCAAGTTCTTACTGCAAATAATTATTAAATGTTATATGATCTGGTTTGACTCAAAGAATATCCAACTCTGTGTAATAATCAGCTGGGTGATAACAGGATGCCATCACACTCCCCTTGTTGGTGTGGAAACTCTCTGGCTTCCTTCAGGATGGTGTCAGGCTGTCTATGGACAGGACAACAGCATGCAGGAGAGCATACCTTGATCAGTGCGGCCATCATGGAGGGTGGAGATGGGGAGGCCTGGGCCTGTGCACCAAAGGAGAACAAACACATGACTTCGTTTGCCGTGAGAACTGCCAATAGTATTTGTGATTAATGTCAAGTACATGTTTTAATTCTGCACCTATTTTTTCTCCCATAGAGAAGGAAACACCACCTTTTAAGTTACATTTAAACAACGCATGAGATCAGAGCCCACTCCAAGAACAGATGTGAGGGAGGAGTTGCCAGTGCACTTTTCCAAGAGAGATACTGAATAGTTCGGATCTATTTACAGATGGACCCAGAAGTTGCGGTGGTATGTGGCCTTCTGGGAAGATGTCATGCTGTTTGGGCCAGTTTTAGCTGCGTCTTTATGAAGTGACCTTCACCAGTACCCAGATTATATTTTCAATCTGGCTTTTTGGTTCAGTTCATTGTGGTGCATAGAATCCAGCATCTTTTTTTTATAGTAATTGATGCACAAAGAAATAAATTAATATAGAATAAGCTGTCTGTTCCAATAAGCTGTGGAAGGTCACATTCCTTAAGAAACAGATCCAGAAGGAGTTTTGTGGGGCAGAAGTTTGCCTGGGGAGCGGTCTTAGAATACACACCTGTGGGAGAGGAGGGGAAAGTTGGGCTACAAGGAAGGGTAGGCTTTAGTGCAGTCACAATAGAGACCTGAGCCAACTGCCTAAGAGCTCAGGAGCTGATGGCATGAAGAGTTGCCTCAAATAGGGTCAATGGGGCTGGAGTGTACACTGCATGGGGGAGCAGTCATTGGATACAGCCTGGGTTGAGAGCAATCCCCAGGAGGTAGAGAGGGGTCTGGGCTGTGAGGTGTCAGCCATCAGAACTATCAGCAGCTGGAGAAATGAGGGATTTGGTCCTGAAGTTGGGAGGTCTGGGTGGCACATCAGTGTCTACTTTCTATCCCAACATGGAATGCAGGCTCTCTGTGTAGAAACTAGATATTTTAACAAGATGTACAAACCTTTACACACTACACAGAATTGAGATATAGAATAAAACAGTACCTGGACATATCCTTTAAAAGGATAAATTTGCTCAAGCAGTCAGTGGGTTAAAAGCAGTAAGCATGGAGCTAGGGGTGAAGGTACATCTGTCCTCTGGAAGCTTGCTTCCTTTGATGTAGAAGGAGTGTTTGTTATTAGAGCAGCACCTTGGTTCCAAACAAGCAGAGGGGAATGACCTATTTGGGGAGGTCTGAGAAGACCGGAGCATAAGTAACTCCTTGTTCTGCCCTGTTCTAGGCATTTTCACCTGCAGAAACATGCTTTTGATCTGCTCCTCAGTGCCCTGTGTGTGACAGTGCCAGGCGCCATGGGAGAAACCAGTGGCCATCCAGTTGTGCTCACATTTATGTAATTAATTCTAGGGTACGATATTAGGAACCTGCACCCTAGCCACATTTCCCAACTAACCTTTACTTGTAATAAAGCTAATATTTTGATTTCCTTCCTGAAACCTCAAGTCTAACTTGGGAATAAGGAGCAGGGATATCATGTATCAAGAGCCCTCAAAAATCAGGAGTTCTGTATTGTACGGAGTTTCAGAATTTTATAGAATGTCTTTTCAGAGATTTTTGTTCTGCTTTTCTTCCAAGTTATTAAAAGGAACAAGCACACATTATATTTTTGGTCAGGATGTAAGGAAATGAGACATAAATCTGGATTTCTTGACTTTAGTCAATCAGTATCCGCCCTATGGAATTTTCATGGGTATGCAGTTCCAGAAGTGACAACTGGCATATCTTTTTTTGCTCAAACTATAAGACAAACTAATGACTGGCTGCCCTTGACAAAAATGGCCCAAGGGTGTGATGCTTATGGCTTAAGCACCAATTGTCTACAATTCTTCCTTTGCACTGCTTCTGTTCCATCAGCATCATAAACGTGATTTCCCCCATTTTAATCCTGTTATCTGGGATTTACTCACCATCGCTCTTGGGGCGTTTATTACATAATGAGGCTTTACTCTTAATCCTAAAGGGAAAGATTTCAAGGTTTTTCTTATGATGGTGCGGTGACTCATTTTACTGGAGCTTCAAAAACACCAGACGATGTGATGCTTCCCACACAGTATATTTTTTGCTAAATGGGAAATTACCATACTGCCAAGCAAGAGTGAGTGTGGAAAAGTCAGGCAATTCAAGTTCCAGAAAGGACTCTTCCACCAACTTTTGACTAGAGCTTAATTTTTGCTTTCTTATCCCTTCACTGGGCATTCTGGCTTAAGCAGTCAAAATGATGTAGTGCTTTCAAAAAGTGTTAAAGGTGTTGGATAAAGGCAGAATGCATATAAATACAAATGGAAATACATCAGAATAGAATGAGTCTTTTGGTAGATTGCAAAAGGCAGCAATACTTTGATCTTTCTAGCACTTATGTTCAATTCAGCAAGTATTCAATGTCTGTTACCCATTAGCCATTCTTCTTGGCCTTATGATTTAAAGATTTAAAGAAAGCAGGGTCTGTCTTCAGGAGAAAAGGACAGACAGACAACTCAGGACAATTAGTTCAATACCACATGCCTGGTATGTAAGCTTCCAATATGTTGTACAAATACATAGCTTGAATGGAAAAAGGGTTACATATAATGTATACCTTAAATGCCATAGTCACACAAATATCAAGAACAACGATCTCTTGAATTTTCGAAGATGCCATTGGCCAAACATTTGATACAACTGACTTATTGAAGGAGCATTTGGGCTTAAATGCTCATTCATTTCCATGTGGTCAAATGAGCTGGGTTGCAGGCTCCGGGGCCAGGAGGTTGGGGTGATAGAAGTGGCATGTCACAGGGTGCCTTCCTTCTGGGAAGTAAAGGGAACTTTAGGGTCCTTTGCAACTAGGCAGGGATTTCAATCAAAGATTCCATTTGTTGCTTTAGCCACCCGCCCTCACATGGGGAGTTGAAACCAGAAACAGGGGAATAATGGGCATTTTGTAATAACTTCTCCTGTTTTCTGTCCCCCACTAGAAAAACTCAGGGATTAACTGGGGAATAGGTCAGAGAATGACAAATAGATATTTCCCAAGTCTGTTTTCTAAACCCCCTAAAATCCCTACATAGTTCATCCACCTACTCATCCCCTAACCTAACCTATTTTATTGTTACCCAATGATCAAGATCTAAATAATATTTTATGTATAAAATTATTTGGATAGAAATTATTCACCAAATGTACACATGGCCTAAGCAAGCTGGAAATGTTTAATTTATTATCTATGATTTTTAAAAAATATTTGAATTAATACTTTTTTGTTTCCAAATTAACAAAAAAATACTTGGTGACAAAAGTTTATTTTCCATCCCATTTGAAACTACATTTTAAAGAATTACTGGCCTCCAAGTGAAGAGCTTTGGTTTCTAGGCCACTGTTCTTTTCCTGGGCTGAATGAGTTTGACATTTCTCCAGTCAAATGGGTGAAGTCCAGCAACTATTTTATCAGAGAACACTTCCTTGTACGATACCATTCAAATCCTGCTTACATCTGTGGCTAAGGATTGATCAGATGTGGTGATGAGGATGACAGTGGCAGTGAAGTGGTAAAGCTTGTGTGAAGTCCATTACCTACCATAGCAGACGAGTGCATAGTACTTGGAGTAGTCACTGAAACTCGCTGTGTAATATTGGCACCTTTCTTGCCTTAGATGACAGGTAATACACTTCTTACTTGGAGGATTGCTTCCAATGCTAATTCTAGAGAAAAATGAAAATAAATTTAAAATTGAAGATCATATTTATCAAAATGTACTACTCCCTATAAAACGACTGACTTACATATTGACATCAAACCCACTCCATTTTTTCTGGTGTCAATGTCATTTAAAGTGAAGGGGAGCCTGGACAGTGTGGCTCAATGGTTGAGCATTGATTGACCTAGGAACACCAGGAGGTCATTATTTCAATTCCTGGTCATTACGCAAGCCCAGGTTTCTGGCTCAGTCCCTGGTAGGGGGCATACAGGAGGCAGCCAATCGATGTTTCTCTCTCATCAAGGTCTCTCTCTATTCCTTTCCCTTCCTCTCTCCCTAAAATTCAATAAAAACATGAAAAATATAAAGTGAAGGGAATTCTTAGCATTTTGATATAGCCTGATTCTCCATTTTTGCCCGAATAGGCCAAGCCTTGAAGAAGAAGCCCTCTGTGATGTCCTTGGGTTGAGGGAGTATCTAACACCTCGAATGGGCATGAGGTGATCACTTCTCAGAGCCATCCGTCTCTCACACTTCACACAGTGGTTGGGAGTGCATAGCTCCTCCTCTTCCCACCTCTCCTTTTGTATTCCCACAAGCAAAGCATACAAGGGGAATCTGTTCTCACCATGTAGCTGGAGGGAGAAATTACTAATAAGCAAACTGGAAATAAGAAACCACGGTTTATGTGCCTCCTGTGCCTTTCAGTCCGCGAGGCAGGGCGTTTGGGCTCCGGGAAACTCTTCCCGGGAATGTCCATTCCGCACGTTTTCACAAAAGCCAACCTAAATTCACAAGTTATTCCTGCTTCGTTCCAGGCTTTAAAAAAATATTCTACATATTCTTAGAATCATGACATATTTCATTCAAGTATCAATATAGAAATATACTAAAGTGAATTGGCATAAATTACCTATAGATATTTCTTCTTCCAGGGACACCTTCAAATTCATTGCTAGAATAAAACCTGAAAGATATTCAGGAGTTATTTAATAACTACCATAACTAAATGGTAACAGGATGGTTAGTACGAATTCTGATATATTAAACATGAAGCCCAAGAGTCATCTGAACCACTCTATTAATAAATGATAAATTAATTGTTAATTTATAAACTAATACTAAATAAAGTACTAATAGCCAGTTCATGAAACTGTTTACTGATTGACATTTATGTTCATAAATCTCTACTGTTTATATCTGAATTTTATATGCTTACTCTGACTTTCAAATTATAGAGGATTAAATTATGCAGAGTACCCTTTTATTATAGGTATATTATATTCCATTTCACTACCTATGAACCACAAAAAATAAACTGAGATATTTGATTAATATCACCCATTTCTTTTTCCATGATTAACAGCTTACTGGTTTATCTATGCTATATTATTTAATTTTGTGTACTATTCTACACACATTTTAATTTATTTTACAGATGCCCTGACAATACATAGGTTTGCTATAAACCAGGTAACTCATCCACACTGTGATTCTACACAAAGGAGCATATTAATTTACCCAGATGCAAAACAACTCACAAGAAAACATACTTGCTACTTAAGTATCTGGTCCAGTTCTAACCTGTCTTAATACAGCCATGAGGTGGTAAAGCCAATTTTGAGCATGATTTTCACTCATAGAAAATCATGTGAGTAAGTTTATCTGATTATTACAAAGTAACTGTCTTGTTTTTTGTTTGTTTGGTTTTTGGAAGACCATAAGAAGGTATGAAAAGTTTGGAATAACCAAGGCTTGGTTATCACTTTTTAATTATGAGGACTATTTGGCAGCCTAGGTACTTTCCTGTCTTATCATAAAAGGCTTGCTATCCTATATAATAAAAGCCTAATATGCTAAGTGTCCAGTTATCCAGTCACTCATTCAACCCAACAAAGAGTAATATGCTAATGATATGATAAGGCTGCTCAACTGCTCACTATGACATGCACTGACCATCAGGGGCAGACGTTCCAACCAGTAGGTTAGCTTGCTGCTGGGGTTCGGCTGATCCCAACTTAGTGAGATGGGCCAGACAAGCCCTGGAGTCCTCCCATGTCCCTCTCTGGCTTGCCATCATTCCGTGTCCCTCCCCAGCCCTGATTTGCATTGGTGGAGTCCCTTGGCCTGGCTTGCATCCTCTAGCAATCAGAGACCCCTTGGGGGATATTGGAGAGCCAATTTGGCCAGATCCTGCTCAATGCAGAAGCTGCCCCCTAATGGTCATCTCTCACAGGGGATGTGCTGCTTAGCCAGAAGCTGGGCTTATAGCTGATGAGTTCATAAGGGGTGGCAGGAGCCTCTCCTGCCTCTGTGGCACTGCTGAGGATGTTTGACTGCCAGCTTACGGGAGTGGAACTAAGCTGGAAGGCAGACATCCCCAAGGGTTCCCAGACTGCTAGAGGGGGCAGGCCGGGACTCCCCCCCGCCCCCCGCACCCCTACAAGTGCATGAATTTTGTGCATTGGGCCTCTAGTTCCCAAATAAAAGGAAAAGGCAACATAATACAGCTCACTCACAGTGTTAAATGTATCCTTCTACATGTCTTTACTGACTTCACATGACTCCAGTCATCACTTGCACTTGCCGTTCCCACATCATCTCAAATTATTTGTGAATAAACTACTCAGTATCTTTTCCAAACAGCCCCCTGCAGTTTTCTGATGTCAAAGGTTTCACAACTGTCTTCATCTCTGACACTTGCAAAAGCACTCACATCCCTCTTGTTGTTCCCTTCTCCCTCACAGCCACTAGTTCACCACTCCTGTTCAGCCTCCATCTGTCTTTCCTGTCTATCTATCTATCTCTGCTCTCATTCGTTTAACAAATATTCATTGAACTCTGGCTCTGTGTCAGGCACTATGCCAAATGTCAAGGATGAAAAAGAAAAAAAAGAAAAAAAAAGAAAGGCATCATTCCCCCCCAGAGTCTGTATTTCACTGCCACTATGCTAGTTCATGTCTCTGTCACCTCAGGCCTGGATTATGACCATACCCGGGGCTTCCTGCCTTCAGTTTTCCCCTACCTTTAGAAAATATTATATCTGAAATCCCATTTTTATCTTGCCACGCCTCTAACGCTGGTGATTTTAATGGCTGCTCCATATAATGTCTAAACTCCTTTGCTGACTGTTCAAAGAATTTCATGGATTGGCAATAGTTTCTGGCAGGTTTTAGCCAGTGAGCCTGAACTAAGAATCCCAGCTAATGGTAGGCAGATTATGGCAGAGTACCCTGGATTTGAACCTTACAAGGAGTGAGGAAAAGGATTAGAGAAGTTTGAGCACAAATGACTTTTTAAGGTGGTTTATTTAGACTGTATGCAGGATGGAGTGGAAAGGGAAGAAGTCCCCATGTTGAGATTACCAATAAGAATGTTAGGTTGAATGTGTTCTAAGTTTGAATCCTAGCTCTGCCATTAACTATGTGACCTTGGCCAAGTTAATTTTCTGAGTATTGCTTTTCTTACCTGTAAAACGGGATAATGGTTTCTACTTTACAGCATGTGGTACACAGTAATTGTTCAATCAACTACAGGTGTTACAGATAAGAACAAATTTATATAGCAGTGAGTCACTACAAAAATATTTTCTATGTACGGGTTGCCATCAGTGGATTTTTCAAGCTTGCTCATTGCTTCAGGTGCTAAAGAGTAAAACTTGTCTTTAGAACCGATTATGACTTTTTAAATTTACACTTTTATATAGGTGCCTGTCACATATCAGAAAAGAAATGACCACGTGCCATATATTCTTTCCTGGTTGTTAAAGAAAGTGCAGTCTTCAGAAAAGCACAGCTGTCTGAACTAAACCACAGAGTAAATAACTAAAATGCTCTTAATAGAAAGAAGTGGTGCACGACCCCTTGGATGTCCATTGGCTGATTAAACCCTGACTGGGGCAACGTGCCTCATGCAATACTTACAGTGAATCCCGTGTTACTCTGAATATATTTATGGCCTCCCACTTGCCACTTGTAATTTGAACAGCGTTTTCCTATAAAAAGACAAACATTATGTGGTGTGAAGCTGAGCGTTATTTGAGCAACCTCAAGTGAATGATCTTTGAGGAGATAAATATTGGAAGAAGCATACCACGGTGTCTTTGATATAGTGAATGTGTTTGTAGCCATCCTTGTCGCTAAATATTTTGTAGTATGAAGTGGAATCATAGCTGAAAACTGGTGTTGAAACAAAGAACTGAAAAAGAAAAGGTTATGTTCAAAAGACAAACCAAACTAAAACTATTGATTTTTTAAAAGCAATGTATATAAGAACTAGAACACCTCCTTTTCCCACCCCTCCTCCCCCACCTTCCGTTACTCACATCTGGAATTCCATTATTTTAGGTGGACGGCTTTTCTAGTGATTTTAACAGGCACTGGTACATTCCAACTACTGTTTAATTGCTACTACAAACCCCTGGGTTTAAAAGTTTAATTTGATCGAGTGTTTAATTTGTATGTTCTGAGATTATGTGATGCACTGGAAAGGAAAGAGAGTTGAAAGAATCACACATGAATGTTGGTATTTAACCAAGTCAGTCTTCAAAATATGGTATTTGGCCACACTGATATGTATGATGCCAAGTACCTAATGCCAGTGGTTCAATAAAGACATTTGAAATATTAAATATTAAATATCATGGCCTGCTAGGGAGATACTTCTAGCTAGAGAGAAAAATGTTACCCAGGACATTGTGGGGGATTTAGTCCTTAACTTGGAGAGCAGAGTAGACCTCATTAGCATCCCTGAATTCTTTGCAGGGACCCTGCTGGGCACCCCTTAATGACCTAAGGAGTCTCTGACACTCAGTTCTGGTGTGCCCTGGAGCAGAGCCAGCTACAAGTCAACATCCTGAATGGTACTGATAACCAAAATCCTGCCAAGGTCCTCACACAAAATTTTAGCTGGTAATTACTCCCATTAAACATGTAGACTCATCTTACATTTGCTGGTTTATTTACAATTCTGGCCAGCAGGTTCTGAAATGGCAGTAAAGTGGTGGAAGACCTACATGATGGAGGTGCTACTCTATCTCACTCAGAGTCGATATTCCCACAGCTGATCCACAGCCAGCTCTCTCTAGCCCAGTGCTTTCATATGGCAGTGAACATGATGCTCAACTCCTGTAGAGCTGAGCAAGCAGCAACAGCCAAATGACTACAGTATCTTTTAGCTGCAAACACCTATCCTGCTGACACTTAGCCTGGGACTCCCTTTTGAGTAAGAACATAGGGAAAGTTGATGTTTTCCTTTTTAGTGATGGTCCTGTGGGTGATCTGATACTTGATACTTTTTTATAAAATTGAGTATGATTGTGTGACTTTTCAAATGCAGTTTATCTGATGTGGTATCTGTAGTGTTCTGAATAGTCTTCCCTAAAATTGATTTCCATCCCGAACCTCAGAAGAGGACTATTAAGACTGAATATTTCTCCCAAATTCCTTTATTGAAACCTATCCCCCACAAAGATGGTATTAGGAGGATATTAGGCTCAGATGCAATCATAAGGTTGGCGCTCCCATGAATGAGATTAATATCCTTATAAGAATCACCAGGGAGTTTGCTTGCTTCCTTTGTACTGCTCTCTGCCACATTAGGATGCAAGGTGGAAGTTTCAACTGAAGGAGAGCTTTCACCAGAATGTGACTATCCTGGACCCTGAACTCAGACTTCCAGTTTCTAGAATTGTGAGAAATAAATTCCTGTTGTTAATAAGCCAACCAGTCTATGACACTTCATTGAAGCAGCCCAAACTGACTAAGACAATGACACTATTTACAAATAGTCTTTACAGATGTAGTCAAGGTACGAATCAAGATGTGACACTGGATCAGGGTAGACCCTCAATCCGATGACTAGAGAAGAGGATGCAAAGAGATAGAAAGAGATATAGAGAAACAGGGCTTGGAGTGATGTAGCTACAAGTTCAGCACATCCAAGGATTGCCAGCAGCTATCAGAAGCTGGAAGAGGCAAGGAAGAATTCTTTCCTGGAACTTTCAGAGGGAGCCTGGCTCCACAGACACCTGACTTTGGACTTCTAACCTCCAGAATAGTGAGAGAATGAATTTATGTTGCTTTAAGGCCCAGGCAACTAACAGTATTCCAGGTCTTATCACTTTGGCACAGAAATGATAAATCTTTAACAAAATGAAAATGGAAAAATGAGAAAATGTGATTTCCTGGCCCAAGACTCTATTACTAGTTTCATTAGTAAGACCAGCCTTGGTAGCATATTGTGTATTGAAACTAGTGCCTCTAAGTGAAATTGAGAGTTAAGAGTCCCAAGAATAGGAAACTCTGATTTGCAGTTTTGTGGATAGAATTTCATTAGTGTGTGTCTGACAACAATCATTTTTTTACTCTAGAAGAAAAATTATGCTTTTTTTTTTTTTTTTTTTGCAAATGATGACATACTTAGTAGCAACCACTTTACAATGCCTCCCTCTCACTCCTCAGGGTAAAATTAAAAAATTGGCTTTATGTTGTCTTAACTACTTAAACCGAACTGGGGTCACAAAATATTTTAAGGTGCTAGAGTAAAAAATATATTCTCCTCACACCTGCAGTTAGTTGAGATTTAATTTTCATAAAAAAAAAATTACAGGGTAGAGTGTTATGTTTTAAGATACTAGAGTCAAGCAAACAGGAAGAATATTTTTTGCTAAGCAAAGACTGTTATCTTCTCCTGTTTTGCTGCACACATCAAAGACACCTACTTTAGATAAACAGGTAACTTAGGTGCAGTAAAGAGAGTGTGAAATATGTCCTCATTCACTTTTCCAGGGCTAGGTCCACTTGCAAGCTCACTTAAGTGCTTCTGGCAACAAGTCACATCTGTACCCTAGAAAATCACAGTCATCACCAGGCCTCTTCACAGATCCCTTTACCTTGCTTAGATTTTCTGATAATTTACTCATCTCTATGTGCAAAGCCATTCAACATATTTTACTTGGAAGGTAATATTATTTACCAGCAGATAAGTTCTTGCTAAGGTTAGCAAATGACCTACGCACCTAAGGCTAATAATGCCTGAACTGAGTCCACGTGTAATCAAAGCATCAGGTAGAATTTTTATTTTTCCAAAATGAGGGATTTGGCCAACAGTCTAAAGGAGGTGTGGTGTATTGCTTAATTATTTTGAAATCATTTAAATGTGGCTTTGCAGTCTAAGTATTCTGCTTTGTAGAGTTTGTTCCCCAAAATTTAGTGATTAAATATCAGCTACATTGATTACATCCTCCTTTTTGTCTGTTTTCTATAGAGCAAAAAAAAAAAAAAGATTTATTGAAAGTGAATTTGTTGTTATATTTCTGATTAAATACAGAAAAAATTAGACTATTTTCCCCAAGTTAAGATACTGACTATCTCATGTTGGAGGGGGAAAAAAATGATAATGTTCTTAAACTGTTTGCTAGTTTTGTGCCTGTAACTAAACAAGTCAGTTACTTTTAGCAAGTCTTTTAATCTCATTTTTCTAATTCTTAGGTAATCTCTGAGGGTCTTTTTCAGTTTAAAGCACTCTGGTAAGTTCTAACAGAAGAACCAGCCTGCACACTGTGTCCACAAACCTCATAAATATTATCTGAACGAATGTCAGAAAGGCATATTTCTGAGAAACTTTTTAAGTCACTGGTTTAATTATTGTATTGGTTCAAGGAAGCTAAACAGCATACTAAGGCAAAGGAGCTATGACTATATAAAGTTGTGCAGGTCTGAACTTATAAAATCTAAAGAATGACCTCTTCAAAGCAGTTCCCTCGGGAGAGTGTGGACATACTTGTGAAAGCTATCATTGCAAAGAATTTTTGACAATTCCACTTCTGGTTTTTATAAAATTTACTGACGATTGGATAAATTTTAAGAGATTGAAATTTGTAAATAAGAAAAATAATGTTTCCCAATAGAATTCTAAAGCTACATGTATTAAAATGATCTGCCACAAAATCATGTGCTGCAAATACTTTGTTTATTCACTAGATTCATTTTGGCATGACTTTGGATTTAATATAAGAACCTCATCTTTCCTCAAAGGACACTTATGTCCCTCCACTGAGGGTATCTTTTTAAAAAATATATTTTTATTCATTTCAGAGAGGAAGAGAGAGATATAGAAACATTGATGATGAGATAGAATCATGTCAGCTGCCTCCTGTAAGCCCCACACGAGGGATAGAGCCTGCAACCTGGCCCTGTGCCCTGACTGAAAATCGAACCATGACCTCCTGGTTCATACTGAGCCATGCTGGCCGGGGCTCTAGGGTATTTAAAGCAGTGATCTACAGTTTTTAAGCAATTTCAGTTTATAATAAAATTTAATGAGAGGTATATTGTATTTAAATTACAAAGGATATGTTTATTTTTCCTGAATTTAAATGGCTAATGATTAATAAGATAATTTTAGGCAAATTAGGGACTATATTACTTTTTAAAAAGTTATCTTTATTGTATTTGTTTAAGACGTAATATTAATTATCCATATTAGTTTGTTGAAAAATTTAAGGTTGGAACGTGAAGAAAATAAAAGACTTGTTCTCAGAAAATTCTAAATGTACATTATAATTGTCTAGCACAAAATTGCTGAAGGGATCACTACCTTTGTATTTTTTACCTTGATTTTTTTTTCTATTAAAAAAAATACTGCCAGTTTGAATACATTTCAAATGGTCCTTTCATAGCTGAGAATCTGTCAAGTGTCATTAAAATATAAAGAAAAGATAGAAAAATCATACTCCACCAGCCCATCCAGTTCTGCTTTCTTCTATATGCTCCTGGGTCTAAAAGAAAAAAAAAAGATCATATAAAGCTTAGTGTTAGTGTTAGGAAGACTGCTTTTTCTAAATATAATCTGGACATTTGAACCAGTTAAGCTGCCTCATCAGAGTGTACTATCAATATCCACTAACTTCACACTTGAGTTTAAGATGACTATATTCAAAATCTTATACAACAGCACTATTATACACACATGAATAAAGCCTGGATTTTATCACAAACCTTTAATAATTCTGGTTGAACTTTCTGTGATACAGAGTTACCACATCATCAACAAAGGCCTAGCAAAACCCAAGTACTTGGTGTCATCTAGGTAAAAAGACATATAGGATCTTAATGTTTGCACCAAATCTTATTTTGGTATATATTTTAGCCTGGTACAATCAATCATTTATGGAACAAATATTTAGTAAGCCTAAGAAAATGAATGGGCTTTTCTAGGCCAATAATTAGAGAAAGAGCATTCTAGGTAGAATGAACAGTGTAGAGACTAGGCCAGCTTAGTAAACTACAGGGGATTCAGTGTGCTGAGTGAAGGGTGACTAAGGGAAAGAGAAGATGAGGGAGCATCCAGAGGTATCAGCAAGATCTCTGAGAAACTTTTATGCCACCCTAAGAAGTTTAAATTTCTCTTGTTGGTAAATCCTTCGAAGGATTTCACAATCACAATTTGGAAAACACAATTGTGAACATGATACGGAAAATAGATTAGAAGTGGGTAAGATAGAAGGAGGCAGACAGATTGGTTGGATGGCTACTGTATTGTTTGGAAAACAATGGTAAAGACCCAAGTCTAGATAGCAACAGTAAGGATGGAGCAGAGAAGGTGTTGCCAGAGGTATTTAAAAGTTCAAATCATCAGAAAGAATTAACAACTATTTCTTTTTTATTATTTTTTTTTTACCATCACCTGAGGATATGTTTTATATGTTTTAGTTATGTGTGTGTGTATGTGTTTGTGTTTGTGTGTGTGTGTGTGTGTGTGTGAGAGAGAGAGAGAGAGAGAGAGAGAGAGAGAGAGAGAGAGAGATTGATTTTCTTTCATGCATGCTTCCAATGGGGACTGAACCCATAATATGAATATGTGCCCTGACTGGAAATCAAACCAGCAACCTTTTGGTGCATGAAACAAGTTCTTTTTTTTTTTTTTTTTTTTTTTTTTTTAACTAGGATGATAGCAAGACTATATTTACCAGGCCCCCTTCCAATTGGATGTGGTCATGTGATAAATTCTAACCAATTGTGTGAAAGCAAAGTGATTCATGCTACTTCTAGTCCTAATCTATAAAAATCCTCTCATACACACAATCCACTATTCTTTTTTTCAGACCCCAGATGGATGTTGATGATCAGATTTAAATAACCTTGGACTAGCGTAGGTAGTCACTGGATGAAGATAGCAAAACTATCATTAACCTGAGTTGCTTACTGACTGTGTGAAGCAGAGCACCCCATCCTCCATCCCCTCACTAGTCCTCAGTTACTTGGGTTCACTATTAGATGGTATATAAATGTACAAAATTTATACTTTATTAATCCAATGAATTATTGGAGGTATTTTGTTGTTATTATTTCTGTTGTTATGACAGCCTACCTTGCAAATATATTAACTTGGAGAATATTAAGGTTTCTAGAGAAGTCAGAAGAAGAGCTGGAAAGGAAAAGAAGAATCAGTGAAGTAGGAAAAGGATCATGAGAAAAGTACTGTCATAAAAAGTTAGGGAATAATAAATTTAAAAAACAGTTTGGATTTTCTCCTGTAGTGCCTCTGAGAGGATATGACTTGAAAAAATAGTGAAACATTTTGATTCATTACTTTTAGCCATAAAGATAAAATTAATTTTGATCCCATTTTCAGAGAAGAAAGAATAATATGAAAGATGTTCCTCCCCCTAGTTATACATTTCTTAATAAATCTTAATATAATTCTATTACATGTAATTATTAACAGTATCCTTTGCTTCTTTTTTTTTTTGTATGATTTCCAAATGAATAAAATGTTGCCAGGTCAATTAATCTTAAATTTATTTGTTTTAAACACACACACACACACACACACACACACACACACACACACACACACATCAATCATGAATCTGGTTGCTGGAAAATTTAATACTCTGTTGTTCTTAAATTTAAAAATGTGTTCCTCCATGCAATTATCAGATTATTTTGAAAAAAAAGGTTGTTTTAAAATCCCAAGGTTATTCAAACCTGATATTCTAAATGTAATCTCTGTTATGGGCCATTAACTAAAGTTTATATTCCAGGTAACTCCACATCTTAGTCAACAAGCATCTATATGTTCTGTCAGTTTGGATTAAAATAGTCTCAGGTTTTAATAAATTAGAATTTCATATTCCAAGGCAATAATAGTTTTAAATGCTTTGTTTTAATAACTAAAATGGTATCTAAATGACCAATTTTATAGTTTTAAACTAACACATTAAAACAATAATTTTTAACACCCAGATTCAATGAAAATGTCAAAGCTGATTAATCAGACCAATGGTTTCTAGTTAACTAGCACAAACAAATGTATTCTCTCTTTTGTGCATGTGTGTATGACACTATATTATGGCCAACATCTTCCTGCTTTGCATATCAAAATATAAATAAGATAAAAATAAACTTCTAGCATATCTCATCAAAATTAGTCAAGTTGATTGCAGACACAGTAGTGATTAAAAAAAAAATATTTTTTAGCCTGAGTAACTTGACCATTATAGTCTTAATGCATTTCCAGACAGATTCACATGACTTTTTTCTTGCAGAACATAACGTCCTAATTTTTAGATAGAATTCAGTGATTTACTTTGATTGCTCTGTGATTTGCTTCTCACTTTACAAAATAGGTTTATCCTATATTTGGTTTAATGAAACATCTTTTTATAATTAGAAGTCTCATGAAATGTACCCATCAAATTTCCTATTTAAAGAAAACATTTTTGTGTTTCTTAGTCTCTAATGTGAGTACTTATGAACAAGTTTATTATAAAGCTTTTAGATTGGTGAAGTAGTTTTCTGACTCATTAATTCAACAGATTATGTTTGGATTTGAGCAATAGAAACAATTAAAACTCAACAATAAATCTGTGCCTGGTTTTCACATTTTTTTTCCTCCCTAAAATTAGCACAGTATAAAGCACTCTCCTAGTATAGGATTGCAGGATAATTTGATCTAATATTTTACCTCATATTTTCAGTTATCTACTTTTGATTTTAAACTGGGAATATTTGGCTTTTTCTTTTCATTTTCTTTATAATTTTTATTCTTCTATTTTGACATTGAATAGCATGTACCACCATGAGCATGCTATTTCAGTTCTTTTGAACAGAACGCAAATATTTCCCTAATAAACACAGCTTATCTTTTCATCTTCATTGTTTTGTTTTTTTGTGGACTGTCAGTTTTGTAATATCAAAAGTATGAATTTCCATCCTAATTCAGAACCAGATACTTGATTTTTCCAATGTCATTTTCCAAATAACATATTATTATTTAGTTGTTTTACTTATTCTAAACAAAGGCTAAAATTATTCAAAGAAAAAAGTGGCATATTATTTATTTAATAAAACTAATGATCTTGAAAATAGGGAGTGTTGTTTTTTTGTTGTTGTTTTGCTATTTGTTTTGCAAAGCAATCCAGAGTTGGATGTGGTCGTTTTGGCTTTATAATATAAACTAGAGGCCTGGTGCACAAATTCATGCTGGGATGAGATCTGGTCGCCCACCCGGATAATGTCAGATCAAGCTGGTCTAGCTGGGGGGAGGGGACAGAGGAGGTTGGCTCAGCTCGGGGGAGGGACCATGCGGTGGAGCCAGCTGCGGGGAGAGACCATGGGTAGTTGGCTGGCCAGCCCTGCCCCTGATCAACATCCCATTGGTTAACCTCCCATGGCCCCTCCCCCTCACTGGCCCCACCCCCTGATCGAACTCCCACTCCCTGATCAAACTCCCAGTCAAACTCAGTCGAGGGGACAATTTGTGTATTAGCCTTTTATTATATAGAATGTTGGCTATAAAAAAGTCCCCACTCTTGAACATTCTTCAGAAAGATACCTCTGTTTTAATAACCTACCTTTGGACAATCCCATGTCTGCCAGCCTTCATTGAAATCACATATAGATAAGACTGAAACATTCTGAACTCTTTTTAGCCACTGCAAGCATATTCGTTCATCAGTAACCCACGTGAGCCAACTGAAATAATAATCACTGCAAATAAATCAAAACAGACCATCACAACCATAAACAAATATCACATTCAAGTAATTTTTTAATTTATGTTTTCTAAAGGATTTACTTTATTATTATTAAGTTAAATACTTATTCCATAGATAAGGAAGGCAAAATGTTCCCTTTCTGCTGAGTAAGTTTAAATATACCTGCTGAGTTTTAAAGACTATCTATAAGAGTTCATCCATCTAATGATATTATTTTATACTTGAGTTTATTTTAGAAAAGAATTTAAGCCAAAGCTACTAGTCAACATATAGGAGAAAAAGCATTAAATTAGCTATTATGCATAGGTAAACTCAATATTTGCTTATAGTATATACACTCATCATTAATTCTCTAGAAAATAAATATGAAAATTGATTAAGAAATTTGTGTTAAAATTCCATTTCAAAGGTGGAAAGCATCTGAGAGGAATATACCTTGAGGCTATCATTGCTGGAACTGGGACTTCTATGGGACCTACATGCTCAGGATAAGTGGTATCAATAATAAATATCCTCACAACAGGATTCTTAGCTCCAGCCTGACAAAAAAATAAAGGTAGAACAGCTCATAAAATTTTAATTATCACTAACATTTGAAAGGCATTTTAGGAATTTAGGCATGTTTTTATAAGATAAAAATGTTAGGTATATTTCTGTTGAAAAAAATATAACATGACCAGGATTTTTACTTCAATTTTACTTGCAGGGTAATACTGTGTCAATCAGTGTGAAAATACATATTTTAAGTGATTAGTTAAGAAGCTTTGATTCAATGAAAAAAATATTTTGGATACAAAAATACAGTTCTGTAATCAATATTTTCTTTTCTGATTTTCCCATTATGATGGTGATGATAATTATTATCATTTCTTCCTCTGCTAGAGAGATTGTGGTTGGGAGGAAAGTGTAAAAATACATAATAAAATATAGTTTTTGCTTTTACCCTGTAATTTGGTCCAGAAAAATCATCAAATACTCAATCTTTCAGCTGGTTACATTATTATTGCTATCATCCCTTCAAACTTAGGAAAGTTTCATTTCCAAATAAGGAATTTACTAGAGGCCCAGTGTCCCCTCTCCAATCCGGGACCCCTCTGGGGATGTCCAACTGCCTCTGGCAATCTGAGACTGCTGGCTCCTAACCACTCATGTGCCTGTCTGCCTGATTGTTCCTAACTACCTCTGCTTGCCTGATGACCACTAACCACCAATGCCTGCATGCCTGATCTCCCCTAACTGCTCCTCTGCTGGCCTGATCATCCCTAACCATCTCTGTATTGCCATGCACCTGGGACTCAGGATTCCCTCTGCCAGCCTATCCCAGGTACCTGGGACTGGGCTTCCCTCCCTCTGGCTGGCTGCAAATACCCAATACCTAGGCCAGCTTCACCTGGGCCACAGCCAAAGGAGCTGGCACCTGGGACCTTTAGGCAGGTGGCTTGTCCCTTTCCTGGGCTGCAGCTGCAGGCACTGGCACTGGCACTTGGGACCATGGAATATGCAACTTGTCCCTCTCCCAGGCCACAGGCCCAAGAACAGCCAGCTGCTGGTGCCTGGGCCATGGGGCAGGTGACTTGTCGCTCTCCTAGGCCACAGCCCCAGCCACTGGTGCCTAGGACTATAGGGCAGGCAGCTTCTCCCTCTCCCTGGCTGCAGCCTGACTGGTCCCCATTCTTCTCTTGCAAGGTCATTTGTGCCTAGCTGGTCCCCATTCGTCTCTGCCCAGTGTTTGAGCCATTTTGGCATGACAGCATGACGACTATTTGCATATTTAGCTCTTTATTATATAGGATTATTTTCTTGTTTTGTGTTTTCTATGCTATTATATATAAAAATTTATATGACAGTATAGTTCACACACAATCAGCTTCTTAGAGTTTTTCTGTTATTTTACCACAGAAAAAGAGGATCTTGTAGTTGTTAAATAACTTAAATCAACTATTTAGGTCAGTAGTCTTAAATGAATAGATGCTGTTTGGATTTATCTAAGGACTTATACACATTTTCCTCTGACTTTCTGTTTTACTGAAGGCTCAGCTTCTTCCAACTAGTCTCACCTCTCAGTCAAAGACAGATGAGTTTAGCAACTTTAGTCTTCAAAGAAACATGGGAATTTGGGTCCCAACTTCTCTGCCAGTGCCAGTTACTCCTCAGTTCTTCATCGCTTCCTGCTCCCTTGCACCCTCCTAAAGATCCAAGTCCTTTTACATCATGGATCCCAAGTATTATACCTCATGCTTCCAGTCATCTCCAGCTCCAGATTTTATAATCAGCCCTTGAAAGGTCTCCTACCTAAACACTCATCTCTATTCCTTAATGTTTCTCCAGTGACTTTAAAGTGAATTTTAAACTGTCTAACATTTCTATTTCTGTCACGATGGCCACTTTGGAATCTGCTTGTGTGTAGGTACATCTTTCTCCTCTTTGTCCCATAGGGACCCACGGGATCCATCGATGGAAGTGTTCCCTGGCAAGTATAAACAACGGGGAAGAAAGAACATTGCACTGCATTCTAAAATCACTTTCATGCCTTGTGCAAGAGGAGAATTTGTGATTTGATCTTTTAGATTTACTGTCTAAATTAAATTATGACATGACGCTCTCCATTGAGATCTGGCCATTCTCCAACTGCACATACAGGTCTCTTCAGACATGGGAATGAATGAAAAGTAAGCACACTAAGGCTTCTAGAATGTTTATGCAAAAATCTTTGGGCTCACACCCAGTCTAATTCACTCAAGGCTCACAAATTTAAGCCACCTTGTATGCCCAGAAAAAAAATCATAACTCATGCTTGCTTCTACCTGACAGGAACATCAAGTTCAACATTTGTATTCCCCATTCTAGCTTGCATTTACATGAGAATTCAAGAAGGAACTGCAAAACAGAACTTTATCCTGAATTTGGAGCATGAAATATGGAAAAATTAAATTTAAGTTAAGCTTGTTTTTCCTCCATGATCTAGACCATATGTTTTTCAAAGCTTCTGCAATAGAATTTAACAAAGACTACTTCATCCAGCACAACCAGATGTCCAAAGCAACAGATGTCCACATAAATAATAGATCACAGTACAATGTTTGCTTTACAATGCACAAGGATAAGAAGCTCTCCAAACTTGTTGATCCCACCTCTATTCATGGTATTGGTTGCTCATTTTGACACCAAGGAAATAGAAGCTCCTGCTAAAAGTATTCCACATACCTTTGGGTATGGAATATTTATTGTCCTAGGATATTGCTCATCACCATAATAGGAATAGGCAATAACTGGTATTTCTGTATCATTAAACTCTGCATATGCCAAAAATTTTCCATTTGGAGACCACCAGAGAGCGTATTTTGTAGCAAGCATTTCCTCTGAAAAATAAATACTAGCATATTAATTATAATTGGTATTTCCTCTTAAAATCATTATAAACATTTCAAAATACATTGTATATATCCATTATTGCCCAAAATAATTTATTTAATATAGATGCAATATATGTCCTACTTTGGTTATTAAAAGATCAATAACCTGGGTTTAGAGGAATAGTTTAGCCTTATACCCTTATCAAACAGTCTTCTTAGGATTTGACAGTATTCAGAAATGTAATTTTAAAATAAATAATAAATATATTAACAAGAATTAATTTTTCTTTTGGGGGCAACTTCTGGTACTTATAGTCACCTAAAATAGCCAAAACAAGGAAATTGTAATTGTACTACAGAGTAACATAAACATTGAATGTTGACTTTCTCTCCTGGGAATATTATTTTTAAAAGAATATTCATGGAAGTATAACAACTTAAGGATAGTTTCCTGCAAAATAATATAAACAGTTGTTTAGTTTTGGAAAAAATATTTCTTTCTTAAGAAAAAAACAAACCTGAGAAAATGAACTAACACAGCATTTAAGGACCATAAACTTCTTGGAATATAAATTGTTGCTGCCACTTTATAATGCTCATTAAAAATAAACTCTACAAGCCTGATAAGATTTTGTTCTTTCAGAACATGCACGTCCTGTTCATAGCACAGATAACAGCTTTCAGAAATGCCACCATTCATCTCAGCAGCATAGCACTCATCTAAATGCTACTAAATGTATGCAATTATTTTCAATTAAAAACCAACACAGCGGCAGTAGAAAGCATGATACAGCTTACCTTCATAAACCCAGTCTGGGATTCCATTAAATATTTTATTTTCTTTTCCATTATATGTTATTTGGAAAGGTGGGTTTTCTGGTCTTTGTTTCAAATAGATATTGTTCTGATACACATATGCCTGGAAGTGGCGGTTAGCTAGTTAATACAGGGAAATTCCATAAGAAATACAATTAAGTCTATATATTTGTGTTAATTATTGACCTAATGACTTTTAAAAGTGTAGCAATTCAGATGCAAAAAGACTCACAAGTACTACCTTACTTTAATAGGTCAAGAAAGAACTGACTCCCATTATCATCTGTTATGATTTTTAAAGTCTATATCAAATAAAGAATAAAGTCACTATTTATTCGTGGTTTTATTACCCAAGTAAATAATTATATATTTATTAACAGAAAGTAAAATCAATCTCTGATTATTAATAGCTAGCCAGATCTAATCTTTATTTAGAGTCCTTAAATAAGAGCTTGGACAAAATTTCATGTTGTCTGAAGCTAGTCTGGGAAACTTGTGAAAACCATATTTTTCCTGAGCTTTCTGGCACAACGCATTCTGGCTGAGTATAAGGATAAAGTTTCTGACTGAGATATTTAAAGTCTATCCATGAGCTTGAGATTTTGCGGAATTCTCAGATGGGTTTCATTTATCAAAACTCTTCTTGTTTTTAATCACTAAAAAAATAGTAATGCATTTATTTTTTTTTCTTTTAAGTAAGGGAATTTAACAAAGGCCAAAACCAAATGGCTCCTTTTTTATGTAAATGATTCAACACTTCTATCATTCAAACACTTACTAATTTACTCCCCGTTGGTGACCAGCAAATATACTGAATGGGACGAGGAAGCTCATTTCTTCTTACAAAATCTCTAGAGGGAAAGAAAGATGGAAAGAAAAGCCACACACAAAACCTTGCTGTTCAATGAAAAAAAATCTTTATAAACAGAAAAATTAAACAATAAAAAATAAAGAGTCATTCTCTCTGCTTCTTCAAACCCAATGGAAAGAATGTGGCCACTTGGGACTGGAGAGATGGGGCAGCTGTGGTAGCTCTTCACTAGTTGCTTAGAAGTCATGTAATTTCTCCAGGTCTCAGTTTTCTAGCCTTTGTAGGGAGATGAATAGATTAAAGACTTACAGACTGCGAAAGTGGGGATATCTCTAGAAATTATCCAATGGAACTCCATTTTGTAGAAAAGAAATGTGAGGTTAGAGAATAGTATGACTTTTAAAAACCACATTACTAGTTCTTGGCAGAGGCCCAAATTAAACTCAAGTCTTTGGCTCTCTTTTGTACACACCAGGGTAGGATGGTCGCTGGACTGCCTTCCCGCTCTAAAATTCTACAATGGTGCTGAAGTTTAATAAGTACTCTTGCACATTCCCATGTATAACCCCATCTCTGTGAATGCACATGCATTTCAAATTTTTGAAAATAAGATGCCATTTGACAACTTCCCCAGAGATCTGACTTGAAATCAGAAACAGAAAGGAACATCCGATTTAAGCTAAGCTGAAAAACAGATTGCATACTAGGCAGTATGCCTTACGCGTGCAAAGTCCTAAACCCATAGGGAAACTTCAAATATCCTTTTAGCCAAAAACCTCACTTTAATCCTTAGAGTCATCTTGCAAATTATCAGTGGGTTGACTTGCATTGGGGAGCTTTTGTACTTCTTCAGCAAGAATGTGTTCAGATTTAATGTATTAAAGAGTCATATGATGCAATGCTTAAGTTTTAATTATCTTCCTGAAGATTTTATTAATAGTTTCATTCAGATTTGGAAGCAGCCCAAGTGCCCATCAGTAGATGAATGAATAAAAAAATTGTGGTACTACCTAGCCATAAAAAGAAAGAAAATTGTACCCTTTGCAACAGAATGGATGGACCTGGAAAACATTATGCTATGTGAAATAAGCCAGTCAGAGGAAGACAAATACCACATGATTTCATTCATATGTGGAATTTAACAAACAAAATATAAACAGATTCATAGACAGAAAACAGACTCAGGGGTGGGAGGGTTGGGGGACTGCGTGAAAAAGATGAATGGACTAAGCAAAACAAACAAGCAAATAAATACCTCATAGAAAGAAAGACAAGAGTATGGTGATTACTAGAGGAGGAAGATCGGGGAGATAGAAAAGGGTACAGGGGACTACACGGTAATGGGAGGAGACTTGCTTGGAGTGGTGAGCACAATACAATATACAGATTATGTCCTATAAAATTGTATACCTGAAACCTATATAATTTTATTAACTAACTAGAGGTCCAATGCAAGAAATTCATGAAGTAGGGGGTGGTCCTTCTGCCGAGCCTGTACTCTCTCCAATCCAGGGCATCTCTCTCATAATCTGGGACCACAAGCTCCTAATCGCTCACCTGCCTGATAGCCCCTAACCACCCTCTCCTGCTGGATTGGTTGCCCCTAACTGCTCCCCTGTGGCCTGATCATCCCTAACTGCTTCTGCCTGGGCCCCAGCCACAGTGACTTTGTTTGGAAGGAGGACCAGATGACAGGAAGATGTCAGTTGACCTGGTCTAATTAGCATATTACTCTTTTATTAGTATAGATTTACCCCAATAAATTAAACTAAAAAAAATAATAATAATAAATGCTTTTGTGGATACACAAAGCAAGACCTATCTGGGGAACATTTGGAATCTTGCCCTCTGGCATACATTGTCAATTTGGCTCAAAAAACTCTTATAAAAGTTCTTTAATAAAATAAAAAAAAAGACCTGCCTTCTAGGTGTAATGTGAGAAGCCTGAAGAAAGAGAAGAAAGACTCCCTTCCTTCACTCTCCAAAAGAATACCTCCAACCTGGACCTAACATATACCTGATATTTCTACTTTTCTAACTTGTTTAAACTTTGGAAACTATGAAGTCTTATAATATACATTGACTTAATGTATTAGGTCATGCAGCATGAGGCCTAGAAGACAATGAGGGAGCAGGCCACTGGACAGACCAGCTTTGATTGGAGAAAGGGTGGAGGCCCCGGAGGAAGAAGATCATTGGTACCATGGGAATCCTGACTGCTGGAGAGCAGTTTAAGGCACCAGGCCCCTGGGAGGTCTGGAACATATTGAAAGTCATCCCTGGGCACAGGCAAGGAAATGACCCAATGGGAAAACGTTCTTCACCTGATTTACAATTCTGATCAAGCCAGTGTGCCTGTGACCTTTGACATTGTAACACTGCCTGACGTTGCCAAATGCTCTGAGGCTGAATGAGGTTGTGAAGGCAGCCTGGCTTCTCCCTTTACATCAATTCTCTTATTTGCTCTGAACCATCCTGGTGAGGATAGACTAACAGCCTTGTCTGGCACCCTGCCATGGCTCAAGCTTCATCTGCCCAGTCATGAAGACAGCACCAAGCGCAAATCTCAGCACACAGTCTCTTCATGACCCACAAGTCAGCAGGTGGCTATTTTCTATATTTTCTAAATAATTCACAGCAGGAGAGGAAGTGGCAGAGGCTGCTTTTCAAATGCAGTCATTTCCTCAGTATCCCTTCCAGTACCTAAAACCAGAACCATGCTCATTTTCTCAGTGGTAAATTGTAAACTCTTCCAAGGCACACAGAACATTTGCAGTTAGTGGTACCCAATTTTGTCTTAAATCTCAACAAATTTGTCATCCCTCACTTTCTAAATTATTGTATATTTAACTGACAAAAGCAAACAAACAATCTGTCATATTAATAGTTGTGAAGGGGAAAAAAACCAGCAACAGTGGTTTGATTAAATTCACTGCACAAAAGCTAACCATTTACAATGATTCTAGGCCTTAAAGCTTATACACACCATGATTAAAATATTAGTATTGCCATATTCTTTTGGAATTGTTTAATTTGGTGAACCTCAACATAGGACTTTGAGAATTTTAAAATGGTTAAAAGAAAAGTAAGGAAATAATGCACGACTTACTTAAAGTATTAAGTAATTCAATACATTTTTTAAAAATTGTACTGAAAGAGTAGGTTTTCTCCTTACAAGTCTAAATGTTTCTTGAGAGTAGGGTTGGTAACTTCAGCTCATTTGTACTCTTCCTTATATGCTTTTCACAAAATAAGTCCTCAGTAAGTAACTCTTGTATTTGGTGACAAAGTGGATCAGAGAAGAGAAAGACTCAATGCATTAGATGAATTTAGATTCTACTTTATGTACTAGTTCCTATTTCTCTGACAGTTTAAGAAGATCAGAGTTAGTCTCTACTGAACATTTAAAAGAAGTAGGTAAATTTTTTTGAACTTTTGTGCTCTTGCTAAATAAAAGGGGAAATAGACCATAAGATTTTTAATACCTCTTCAAGATATATAATTATTTTCCCTTTTATATAACACAAATGGGATATCGCATTAAGATGAGTAACTAAACCAATTCATTGTCCATTCTTAGTCAAAGTTATTTTTCTAAAGTGCAAATCTGATCATGTCATTTCCCATTTGAAACTCTTCAGTGATTCCTATTGTCATCAGAATGAAATGTAAACTCCCTTTACTAGTTTCCTCATTATTATTTGGCCCAGACTTCCTGGCCTCAACTCCTTCCCAACCTTACACCACCTCCCAGTAGTCATACCCTCCTCCAGTTTCAACTCAACTGACCTACTTTCTGTTTTCTGAACCTTCCATGCTCTCCATTCCCTTTGTGTTTTTAGATAATATTCCTCTGCCAGAAATTCTCTGTCTCAGTTCTTCTCCTACTGACTTATTTGTATATATTTTTTTCTGTTTGAAATATATTGTAAATAGTTAAACATACAAATAAAGAAAACAATATAATAGATGGCAGTTTATCTACCATCTAAATTTGAGATATTAATATTTTGCAATTTTTTAAAAAAACCATAATTTAGAGTCAACTAACAGAGTATATGTTCAAAGAGAACTAATTCCTTCCAATGAAATAGCCTCCTTCCTAGAAGCAGTGTATCATTCCCATGCATGTTTTATACTTTTACTACTTATGGAAATAAACATAAGTAGTAAAAGTACAAAATTACAAATATACTACTTATGAAAATAAACATAAGTAGTATATTTGTAATTTGGTGTTCAGACCTATGAGGGATCTATATTGTCTATAAAAATGCAAATATTAGCCAAGTAAAAAGATGAATATTACATAGGAATATTTCCTTGAATTTCTTAATTTATGGGTGCACATGTATTGTAAAGAAGCAAGAAGCTAAGATCAGTAACAGGATAGTCAACCTCAAATCAGAGTTTGGAATGAAAAGTCTATGTAATAGAGTTAAGTAGTATTCATAAATAGACATGAAGTTTTACCCATTCCTAAGGTCATAGATGTGATACGTTGCTGTATAAGAGTATCGCCAAAGCTGTCAGAAAGAAGAGAGGCAAAGATATATTTTAATTTTTTAAAAGCTTATATCAGGAATCTATAGTCATAGGTCATTCAATTCAAGGTTCAGAATTATGAAAGGACTATTTTCACAGGGCACTAGGAAGAGTATGTTTCAATTCATAATTAGTCTTCATTTAAAGAATTTTACTGTGGACTTTTATGCTGTTTGTCCATATCCCAGAATTCAGCCCTCACTCCATAATAACCATATTGACATTTCTTAATATAACAAGCTTTCCCTTGACATCCTCTATAGAATTTTTCCTTTATATTTTACTTGACTGAAATAAAACCACCATGATTTCCATGGCCCCTGCACCTGAATCATTGGTTATCATGACACTCATAAGACAGGGTAAAAAGAATTTCATTCAATGTTTTGTTTTATTGTAAAATGTTCACCTTTCTTTGAGTATGTTTTCCTTTTTAATTAATAGAATTTTTTTTTTTAAATAGGAGAGATAGAGCATGTAACTCTTTAAAAAATTAGTGGGTTCTTTTTCCTCATAAGTATACTTATATCATGGTTAGTGAACAATGCAGGTATTTTTTAAATTTTGTGTCTTAAAAGGGCGTTCAGACTCTTGACAAGGAAGGGCCAGCAGAAGGACATTTCCTTCTGAATATTAGGGGAATTTTGCATCTCAAGTAGGATATGAAAAATGACAGTTAAAACTAAAGGTTCTTGATCTAAAAATAATTGTTAAATGCTTAATTCAATAGTAAATTCCCTTGGCCTTTTACAAAAACAAAAATCATCTTGAAGATGTATAAATAGAAGAAAAAAAAAACAAGTTGTTTAACTTACCCTGCAACTTCCATCAGGACGGGGAAAGCAAGTAAGGGCAAATGGTGTGGTGTGTGGGATTCTGCTACACGAAGCTTTTGGAGACAGATTTAAACTTCTGGCCTATTAATGAGTGTATGTCATCTTGTTTGTGCAACTGAGCTAAATAAGTCACATCTTGATTTTTGTTTTGTTTTAAATAATAAACTTTTATGAGTTTAAAATGTAGGAATTAACTAATGATTTGTGATACCAAATAGCTTTAGAAATACAAAGATAATTCACCCCTTTCTGGTGAATATCTGTGCCCTCAAAGTGTTTTCCCAGAGGAAACTAGTTGCTATCACTTGCTGATAACCAGCTAAGTAAGCCACATGATTTACTTATGTTTCAGTTATGCTTTTGGGGCTCATCTAGAGCCCATGTTAACTTCTTGAGCATTTAGAGATAAAAATAGACTTTTGCTTCCTCTTATATTTATAAAGCAAACTGTGAATTAATAAGAGATATAACCAGATATATCCAAATTAAATAGTAATTACCTTTGAATAATCACTTTCTAGATATGCAAATTGCCGATCAGGTGATAAGCCATAATTGGAAGCATTCACACTTTTCTGAAATTATGAAAAAATTGATTAGATGCAGAAAAAAAACAAAACAGAGCCATGTTAATTTGTAACAGAATAACACATCTTCAATATATCCTACTTGCATTTATCTTCAGTGCAATTTTAAAACATTGATATAGTGCCTACTGTATAGGAAGAAACTTATTGGATATTATGGGGGGATGATATAATAAAGATATACTTGGTGATTTCAAGAAGCTTATAATGTTAAACTTGTAAATAAGTAACTTATATTGTAAATTAGTTCTATAAAAGAGATATAGATATAACTTTACAAAAGCATTAAGGAAGAAGTGCTTGAATCCAAATGAGAGTAATTGCTTGCATAGAATAGAGGAGGAGAGCTTCATCTGACTGTGGTTTTAAAAGATTAGTGGGCTCTTGAGGGGAGAGAAAGTGGGAGGGTTGAGAGCCCAAGAGGACCAAATAGCATGTGCCTGTTTATTCTATGTCAGGCATTGTCCAAAGCACCGTCAAATTAAGTTACTTCACTTAATTTGTACATTAACCCTAAGAGGTATTATTACTCCTACTTTATATAGAAGAAACTGAAGCTTGGCAGTGTTAGTATAGTGTTAGTTACAACCATTTCCCACAGGTTGCAAGTGACCAAGCCAGGATTTCAGCCTCAGTAAGCCTGACTACAGGATTGAGTTCTTAACTCTTATCTCAGGCTATATTCTTTCCACAGAGGAAGAAAGATGTTGGATGATTTAGAGGAGAGAAGAGTAGGAGTCTAGAGTGAGGAGAAGGGAGAATTAAAAGAGAAGTTTAGTGGATGGAGCTGAGAAGGCAGGCTGGGTCCAGATCAGGTGCTAAGAGTTTGGGCTCTTTCTTGGTCAGTGAAGAGCTGGCAAAGTCTTTTGAGGAAGAAGATAATGTTATATACATACCATGGTGGTATTACTCAAAATGGTATATGACTCTCCTGTTTCAATATTATAAAATACTACGTTATTATCTGTAGATTGATGAAGATACTCTTGTCCTTTAAATGAGAAGGAAAACAAAACTTGAAATAATCTCCCTTAAGAGGAACTACATTTATAAAAGGAGAAACCTCTCTATTTCACAGACTTATTTTGTTTTTCCTCTTTGTTCAGTATATGTTACTTGGTGAGATTTAAAATAAGTTAATTGTAAGTGGAGAAAAGAATACTTTTTTTCTGCTTTCTACAAAGATGCCCTATTTGTTACTAACATCTCTATCCTAACTGGTTCAGTGTGGTGGAATAAAATTGTATTTTATCTGTGTTACAAAGAGGATAAACTAGTTTTAAATGGTAAGTTTCTTTTGCAATAAAAATTCATTTAATTCAGGTTATGCCTGGTTGATTTTAAAACCTTTTTATGTGCACTTAATTTTCTAAAGAAAAAAATAAAAATATTTTATTTTGTTTAGTGGCACTTTAGACAAACTATAATATCATAAATAATTTAGTTGACTTTATTATTTTTGATTAGCTGTATTTGGCATCTTATTTTACAAAACTATATGTAAATATCAATTTTATGGCCCTTAAAGGATTTGTTTTTAGGGTAGGATTTGTCCATTTCTGTGATTATCCAGATTAAGAATGGATTTCTTTTTTGGTAAAATTCTCATGACTTCTCCTAAATAGGTATTTCTCTTCCATTTTGAATAGCTATCCCACATGCTCAGAATATTGCAATAATTCTCAGCTTTTACTTTTCTGCTAAACTCCTATTAGCCTCATTATTGGGAGGAAATCTGGTCTAAAAGGTTCTGTCAAAAGTGCTTTTCTGGTCACTTGACTTATCTAAATAATCGCTCTTTCCCCCCCATGTAAACTGATATGGCTTTTGTTACCCTAAAGATACATTGGCACTAAAAGCAAAAACGAAATGCTATATAATATATATTTTCTGATATTTTTATTTATTTTTTATTGTTTAAAGTATTACAAATAGTAGTACATATGTCTCCCTTTTCCTTCATTAACCTCCCCTACCCATCAGCACATGCTTTCAACACCCACCTCCCCAGTGTCTGTGTTCATTGGTTATGCTTATATGCATGCATACAAGTCCTTCTATTGATCTCTTACCACTCTCTCCAACCCTCTCTGCCTTCCCGCTGTAGTTTGACCTTTTTAAAAATAATGCCAAAAGTAAGAAAAAGTTCACCTACCTGAAATCCAAGTTGGAAAATATGTCCAATAAGAAAATGTTCCATTTAAAATATCTTTTAACATGAGTGCTCTTGTTGTATTATTTCCTTCAGAGTTATAATCTTTGGGGGAAGATGAAACATATTATTACTAAAAAGAATATTAATAACTCAAATAAAGTCTAAGGTTTTCTCACATATGTTCTTTCTCATATAATAAAAATATTGCCATCTGCAAAACACTTGTTTAATTCTTGTCTTAGTAGATATAAGAATTATCTCCATTTTTATAGACATGGTAACTGAGGCTTAGACAGGTGGTTTGTCTGGAAGGGAAAACTGGTGGGAAAAAATTGGGGTGTATGAAGGATATGGAGGGGGATGGTGCCGAGCAGTGGGGGCATTATTTATTGTTCAGTTTGTGGAGAATTGTCAGATTTTTTAAAAAAATATATTTTATTAATTTTTTACAGAGAGGAAGGGAGAGAGATAGAGAGTTAGAAACATCGATGAGAGAGAGTCATTGATCAGCTGCCTGTTGCACACCCCCTACTGGGGATATGCCTGCAACCAAGGTACATGCTCTTGACTGGAATCGAACCCGGGACCTTTCAGTCCCCAAGCCGACGCTCTATCCATTGAGCGAAACCGGTTTCGGCCATTGTCAGATCTTTTTTAAGAAGAAGAGTGAAGTGAGGTTCCAACATATCTAAGCCTTGCATATTATTAGTCTTTTAGTATATAGAATATATTCATAGTAGCTATAAATGCCAATAATCTATATAGAGAACTTAGCATATGTCATGTTATGACTCAAGTTACCTGAATAGCAATTTTAACCATGCGTTAATTGTACTACTAATTATCATGATGAAAATAAGCCACACCAGCACCCAAGAAGCAATGAGTAGATGTATAGAAAATATATTCAGAGGAGCTAGCTATATCTATTCAGAAATAGGGCACATGCACAGATTTGGGTTTGGTGAGTACGAACCTCTCATATGGTGCAGGCGAGGCTTAGAGGTGTGATTGATTATGCTGGAGTCAGGTGGGGCTCAGAATGATACCAAATGACTCTGATTTAGTCATTCTGCTCTTTTTGTTCATAAATGTAATGAAGTAATGTGTCTGCTCTGAGATGTTGCATTAGGTCACATATTCAGAAGTATAAAACATAAAGTTTACTTAGAAATTCCAATCTTAGCTCTGTTTCTTTGTATATTTAGAAAGACTATAAACATAGTAATGTTTCATTGCAATATCAATGCTGACCGGTACCACCAGCCATCAGCAGAAATGGGCTCTATGAAAAAGCTATTGGTTTATTACTATCTCAACACTTAAGCTCAATTTATTGAATATAAACATTTTGTTTCTATATTTATGTGACTTGTATAAGGGATAGGTCTTTGTCCATGAGAATAGAGAAAAAGATTTTTTTCACTGTCATATGCCCAGCAGCTGGGATAATGTTTCACATATAGTGGGAGCATGATAAATACTTTTGAATGAAAAAAAAATAAATCAACTTGACAGATTTTATGTTATTTTCACTAATTCCCCCACCACCACCAAAAAAAAAAAAAAAAAGATGTACCTGGCCTTATTCTCTACCCTCCTATCCATGTGGTAAATTTCCACCTGGATATGCCCTAATTTAAAAATGTATCCAAATTTAGTCCCTGGAGTCACTTGGATGCTGTTTGAAAAGTAGAATCCTAGTCCTTATCTCAAACCTAATGGCTCAGAATCTCTGGGGATGAGGTCCTGCTAACTTTCATTTTTGCCTGTAACCCCCAGGATATTCTTCTGCAAAGAATCCAAACTTAGTGATTTCACTGAATCTATTCGGTGAATTGTATTTTACGGTAGCCCTGTGCCTAAAATTGGGGTTCCCTTTGCCTATAAACTCTTATATGTGGATGGGCATGGCCTGACTAGCAATCCATACCTCGTGGATGTAGATTCCTCACAACTAAGTGTTGATCGTGGCCTGCAAGGAATGTTAATGATCTATAATGTTTGTACCCCTATTCAATCCTCTTGCCCACTATCTTTTCATGCTACACTCAATTGGATTCTTCTTAAGTACATTTCCTCTGCCGATCCTTGAAGAATGAAAAAAGGGCGAGGTGTCTGATTCTGGCCCAGATTAGATTTAAATAAGATTGCCAGGAAAGCCCTGGGGTTTTATTTTCTAGTGTCATGAATGTAAATCAGTATAAAATGCATCCCCATGACTAAACAAGTTCCAGTCACCTAAAAAAGATGCTACTACTAATTATTGAATGAATAACTGGATTTTCATGCCTCTCCCCAAATAATGTTTTAACATTGAAATATAACCTTTTGATTGTTTTGAAAGCTTGGTTTTGACATGTATAATTTTTAAACTCTAAATATTTGAGCTGAAGTAAGAATGAGTTCTGAAAACATCTCTCTTCTATATGTAACTGGCACTTCCTTGATTAACACTGAATTACTCACAGTGTCCTTAGAGTCAACTTGGCCTATCTTTAAAGCACAGTTCCTAATATACCGCTTAAACACTCTAATTAACTATACATTTGCATTTGCACTTAGTAAAGCAAAGCTGAAAACTATTTCAATCATGAATCCAAGAAATTACAATTCACAGAAATGATTCACAAATAATGATTCACTATTCTAATTTTTTCTCAAAACCTTCTGCTTATTCTTTATTAAGATTGTTTCTATTTCTGCCATTTAATTTTCTAGTATTGAAAAATTGGGGATCAGTGCCAGAGCAGAAGCATTCAATGTCAGCTCTAATATTTATGACAAACTAAATGAGAAAATATGGTTTATTAAAGCGTGCACACAAATGGCAGGGTCCCTTTGTTCTCATTTCCGTATTTGATTTGGAACTGATGCTAAATAAGCCACACCAAGGAAAGTGACGTGTGTTTCCAGGCACATCACACATATCTTGGGTTTGCAGAGAAATTATCTATACTGGTAAGGAGGCATCATCTCTAGCCATTGCTTCAAGTCATGTTTGTTTTTTTATTTTTCTGGAGTAAGCACCACAGGGGCAAATGTAGGAAACTTTAAGTGTAGAATCTACCATTTAAAAACCAATATATTTGGGCAAAAGCTGACAACTGGTAACAAATGGATCTGAGGTAACTTCAAACCAATAACAGGAAGTGTTGTAATTGAAGAAGTTTTTGTAAGTCCAAGCACTCTAAATGCATGGTCCCATGAAACCCTCACTCACCTCTCTGAGATGGACTATTACTAACTTCATTTTAAAGATTAGGCCATGAGAATTAGAGGCAAAATAACTTGCTTAATATATAACAGAGCTGGGGTTTACATCCAGCTCCATCTGATTTTAGAGGCTGGGCACTTTATCACTAAACTATGATTTAAAGCAAAAAAACATGTGTAATAAAATAACTGTAACAGCAACACAAACCAAACAAAAATTAGGTAAAAACGCAAACAATACACAAGGAAGGTAGAATAATTATTCCTGGAAATGTAGGACCATTGAGTCTTCTTTGTCAGCTCATCTTCCCCTAATCTCTACCTTAAATTGTGGTATGGCTCATATTGGTGTTATTTGGGGTCTGAGGAAGAGCCCCTGTTCTTGGCCATTTTGTTCTCCCGAGGTTTCCATTACATAGCTCTAGGCAAGTGGTCGGCAAACTCATTAGTCATCAGAACCAAATAGCAACAGTACAAGGATTGAAATTTCTTTTGAGAGCCGAAATCCGACTTCTGTACATGGGCCACGAAGTTTCAATCGCACTCTATGTGCACATCTGCATGTGGTATTTTGTGGAAGAGCCACACTCAAGGAGCCAAAGATCCACATGTGGCTCGCTAGGCGCGGTTTGCCGACCACTGCTTTAGACTGATTCACCCTATCACCTGACCTGACCCCCCTTTGAATTCCAGACCTGTATATTAAAGTTTTTCCTTGTCACCTCTATTTGGTCACCTCTAATATACTCTGACCAGCAATTGAACTGGCAACCTTTCAGTGCACAGAATGTTGCTCAACCAACTGAGCTACTCCGCCCAGGCATATTGTTCTTTTAAAGAATCCTATCACATCAGTGTTTCTACCAACTATAAAATCATAATACGCATTAAAAATTTTAATTTAGACACTAAGAAATTCTTTTTATTATTCACTAGAGGCCTGGTACATAAAAATTCAGGCACTGGAAGGGGATCCCTCAACCCGGCCTGCCCCCTCTCACAGTCCAGGATCCCTCAGGGGCAGAAGGCAACCCAGCAATCAGGGGAAGGAGACTCCCCATCACACCTCTGCTGCTGCCACTGCCGGCAGTGCAAGCCTTGGCAGACACTGGGTTACCTGAGCCTCCAGTGGCCCTGGGAGGCTGAGAAGCCGCCATTTGAGGCTTGCCTGTGTCTCAGGCTGGCCCTGGGCAGATGTGGGGCTGAGGGGACTGGGCAACAACATCTTGTGGCTGTGGGTGCCACATCTTTGATAGAGGGGCAGTGAATTAGCATATTTCCTTCTTATTAGATAGGGTAGGAATAAAGGTTTAAAAGGATTTTGTTACTCTGTTTATATTACATAATTTTTGTAAGTTCACCAGGATACTAAAATGAACAATAATTTCTTTTCTCTACTTAAAATAGGCAGTAAGCCCTAGCCAGTTTTGCATAGTGGGTAAAGCATTGGACCTCCTACTGAAGAGTCCTGGGTTCAATTCCAGTGAAGGGCCCATACCTCAGTTGCAGGCTCAATCCCCAGCCCTGGTTGGTGCACATGGGGGAGGCAACCAATCAATGTGTTTTTCTCACATCAATCTTTCTCTTTCTTTTCCCCTTCCCTATAAGTCAATAGAAAAATATCATTTTTTCTGTTTTTTCCCCCTTCCCTTCCACTCTCTAAAAGTCAATAGAAAAATATCATTCGGTGAGGATTAACAACAACAAAGGCAATAAATTTGAAAAAGGTTAATTAGTATTTAAATATTATATGAAAATATCATTTCAATTGTGCCTACAATGTTAATTATTGCTGTATTTTAAAGCTCTGCATGACTGTGTCTCTTTCTTAAAAACTTTGAGCTCTGATTCCACATCCCCAATTTGAGCTTTAGAACACGTGTTTC